CCTAGCAGCAGCCAAGCTACTCCACTTCCTTTCATTTCAGTGACATCACAGAGGGCCACCTCACCTAGCCACAACCAATCAGCTTTGTTACTTTTCTTTCCCTCTGACCTGGGCCTAAAAAGAGTAGTTTTTTAAAGTCCAAACTCCCAATTTTAAGCTGAAGAATGAAGGTTATGTGTGCCAAGTTTGGTCCAGATCCATCAAGCCATGTAGGAAACTTTGTGGTATACACAAACAAACAAGCATACTTTGACTTTTAGATATAGAAATTGCATCTATCTGGCTCAAGTAGGCTTCATTTTAAGTGCTGACCAACAAGGGCACTGGAATGCTCCTTTAATGTTTGCAACCAAAGGAATAGGAGAGAGAGGAAACAAGCTATGAAAAGGCAAACAGTTGCTAATGCCTGGGGTAACAAGAACATCATGTCATGACAAAGCATAAACATCCAGAGATAACATGTCAAGAGTTCCTTGTGTTGGAATTTGGTGCATAATCTCAGAAATGCATCATTGCTAGCAGCAAAACCAATGGGCCTGCCAGCTCTTTTAAAGTTATATCTAAAGTCATGAGACAACACACAGAAAGCAAGCAAGAGGGAGTATCCGGGAAATAACACTGTAATCAGAGTGTATATATTATAGAAACACGCACCAGGACAAAATTATACAAAACTACGACTGAGATCCGCTTAATGGATCAGGGTATAAATAAATTAATACATTTCAAAAATAAAGCACAACCACCTTATCAATAGATTTGATTTCCACACTTCATACACGGCATCTTTTTAGGAAGTGTTTTGCTAAGTCATCCTGTGCGATTCTATGATACGTTTCCAACCCGAGTACAATCAAAATATAGGGTTTACTATTATCTATGGTTTCAGGTATACATGAGAGTCTTGGAACATGTTTTTCATGAATAAAGGGGTCATACTGCATTTTTATTAGTTTGTTGGACTGGGATGGAAGATCTGCCTTCTAGGCTCTGATGAACCATACCATTCAATGGCTGAGACAGTCTTTTTTTCCCCTCCTCTATCTTTCAGGCTGGATCTACATTGCCCTATATCTCAGTATCCCAAATTATCTGCTTTGAACTGGATTATATGAGTCTACACTGCTAGATAATCTGGGATAAGCAGATAATATGGGATCAGATCCTGGGATATAGAGCAGCGTAGAAGGGGCTTCAGCTGGACCAATCTCGTAGGACTCTTGTATCAGGTCCCTTCTACATTGCTATATAAAGTCCAGACTACTGCTTCAAACTGAATTATCTGACAATATACACTCATATAATCCAGTTCAAAGCAGATAATGTGGATTATCTGCTTTGAAAATCTGGATTATATGGCAGTATAGAAGGGACCACAGAAACATGTGAGCTGTCTTGGCCATCAGTGAGGAAAGAAGATATAAATGTATCTAGATTCCATATAAATATAGTTAGGAGCCTGCTGGTCAGGTATCCAGAAAAGACCATTGTGTAAAAGGCCTGATGAAGGAAGACAGAGATATAGCAGATCAATAGTAGGGTACATCTAGAAAACACTCTAATAAATACTAGGTTCAATTAAGCTTATTTCTATGGGAAAGTTCAGATTAGAACTGTAGTAGGTACCCCACTTTTGTAGACTGTAGGGATGCAGGACCTCCACAAAAATGGGGAAACCACAAATGTAGAACTTGAAACTTGAAAAAAAATTTTTCTAAAAATCAGAACAGTAGAGGAAGTAGAACTCACTCTTTGATGTATTGTTAAACTTGTGCCGTTCTGTGCTAGAACACGAGATGATGCATTATTTCATCCTTATTCCATGTTGTCAGGATGACATGGGATCTTCTGAAACAGATGTTCTCCCCAGTTGGTCAAGCCATTAGCTTCACAGAGATCTGGGTTTCATCTTGACCCAAGTTGATGAAGGGGACCTCAGCCAATGACCTCACAAAGGCATGAGTTTACTAGCTACTGCCTATTTAGTGACTTCATAAAACTTTTACTTTTGATTCAGTAGTCTCCTTCTGCCCTCAAAACTTGTGTCCTTCGATTATGACAGACTACATTTCCAATCATTCCAGTGGCCGTGCCTCCCAGAAAATGTAGTCTTAAATCAAATTGCTATTTCCTTTTGGAATCCAATGAATCAATGGTACTTAAATAAGAATTGGCTTAGCATTCAGTATTTCATTCCAATTGATTTACGTCAGCTAGAATTAGCAACCTCATACCTGCCAACATTTCACAGGTGAAACTAGGGCAGAGTAAAAGTTTTTAACAAGGTATGGTATGCAAATTAGGAGAGATTACAGCAGTTTGCTTTTGCCTCAGCAGACAAGATTTGTTTGTGTTTGTGTGTCTTTGTTGTGTTGTTGTTTATTTGTTCGGTCATTTCCGACTCTTCATGACCTCATGAACCAGCCCACGCCAGAGCTCCCTGTCAGCAGTCACCACCCCCAGCTCCTTCAGAGTCAAGCCAGTCCCTTCGAGAATACCATCCATCCATCTTGCCCTTGGTCGGCCCCTCTTCCTTTTCCTTCTATTTTCCCCAGCATCATTGTCTTCTCCAAGCTTTCATGTCTTCTCATTATGTGGCCAAAGGACTTCGTATTTGCCTCTAATATCCTTCCCTCCAGTGAGCAGTCGGGATTTATTTCCTGGAGTATGGACTGCTTGGATCTTCTGATGGTCCAGGGCACTCTCAGAATTTTCCTCCAGCACCACAGTTCAAAAGTGTCTATTTTCCGTCACTCAGCCTTCCTTATGGTCCAGCTCTCGCATCCATAGGTTATTGTTGGGAATACAATTGCTTTAACTATGCGGATCTTCGTTGCCAATGTGATGTCTCTACTCTTCACTATTTTATCGAGATTGGTTATTGCTCTCCTAAGAAGTAAACATCTTCTAATTTCCTGTCTGCAGTCTGCGTCTGCAGTAATCTTCATACCTAGAAATACAAAGTCTGTCACTGCCTCCACATTTTCTCCCTCCTCTATTTGCCAGTTATCAATCAGTCTGGTTGATATCATCTTAGTTTTTTTGATGTTTAACTTGGTTAGAAGGCTCCTCCGCTCCTCACTTTCAGCCATCAAAGTGGTATCATTGCATAACTAAAGTTGCATGATGTGTTCTGCATACAAGTTGAATAGGTCAAGTGAGAATATACCATCCTGCCGTACTCCTTTCCCAATCTTGAACCAGTTTGTTGTTCTATAGTCAGTTCTTACTGTTGTTATTTGGTCGTTATACTGATTCCTCAGGAGACAGACAAGGTAACTTGGGATCCCCATACCACCGAGAACTTGCCACAATTTATTATGATCCACACATTGAATATTTGCCTATGTATGTAAATGTTGTAATCCGCTCTGAGTCCCCCAGGGGAGAAGGGGTGGAATATAAAGTCTATTATTATTGTTGTTGTTATTATTATTATTATTATTATTATTATTATTATTATTATTATTCTCTACACTGTAGAATCCCTGGAGTTGTAGTTTTACAGGGTTTTTAGCCTTCTCTGTCCACCTGACATCCGTCGAGAAGTAGCAGCCAATAGTGAAAGGACCAAGGCAGAGACATCCCAGCTCATCCCGTTTGGGTATCAGCCAGCACGTCAACGACTTAAATTTAGAAATAGTTTTCTAAGATCTACAGAGACACTCGCTGGAACACCTCAGCAAGCGAAAGTCCAAAAGTGGCAGGCTCAAACCCAGAACCTCAACCAATGGCTGATACCAAATGAGAGACTCCCCCCTGGGCACACAGAAGACTGGGCAACTTGGAAGGCGCTGAACAGACTGCACTCTGGCACCACAAGATGCAGAGCCAACTTTCAGAAACGGGGCTACAAAGTGGAATCCTCGACATGCGAGTATGGAGAGGAGCAAACCACAGACCACCTGCTGCAATGCACCCTGAGCCCTGCCACATGCACAATGGAAGACCTTCTTGCAGCAACACCAGAAGCACTCCAAGTGGCCAGATACTGGTCACAGGACATTTAATCAACTACTAAACTCACAAATTTTGTATTTTGTCTGTTTGTTTGCTTTGTTCTGTTAGAAATGTAATATAATCGACTGGTTGCCCTGACACGACAAATAAATAGCCTTCTCTGTCAGTTTAATTCCGATGGCTCAATGTTATGAAGACCCTGGTAGTTGTAGTTTGGTGAGGCACCAGAACTCTTTGGCAGAGCAGGCAAAAGACCTTGTAAAACTATGATTACCACTATTCCATACCATTGAGTCATGGCAATTAAAGTGGTGTCGAAATTCATAAAAAAAAATCATAGTGTAGCACCCAAAGGCTGGATATTCAGAAGAACCTTTAAAAGCTTGTGCTATTCTTTGCATGCTATTAAGCACATTTTACTACATCTAACCTGAGCCCATGCAGAAAGTGAATTTTGAATTTATAAGGGCTTAAATAACCTAAAGGCTCCAGATCCTGTCTCATCTTGGATGCTAAGACGCGTCAGTGGATGGGAAAATGCCAATGAACACCAGGTACTGTAGGCTGTATTTCAGAAAAGGAAACTGTCTTGGGTTATTCCTTGCCTAAGGAAACCTTATGAAATTCATGAGGTTGCCACAAATCGACCTGCAATGTGAAGACATGTAAACACATACATATCTAGTTTTCTAAGAAATAGCAACACACATAGGCAATCCAAATGTGATTTTGTGTAACTGCCTTTTCCCAAATAAAGACAAGGTCCATGTACATAAGGTTTGTAAGGAAATATATTTATTTACTCCTAAAAAAATAAAAATCTCAGAATAATGCGCAAAGGTGAATTCAAGTCTTTGCTTCACAACAACCCTGTGAAGTAAGTCAGGCGCAAAGAAAGGTATGATAAGCCCAAGGTCATCAAGTGGCGCAGTGGATTAAACCCCTGTGCCGGCAGGACTGAAGATTGACAGGTCGCAGGTTCGAATCCGGGGAGAGGCGGATGAGCTCCCTCTACCAGCTCCAGTTCCTCATGCGGGGACATGAGAGAAGCCTTCCACAAGGATGATAAAACATCAAATCATCCGGGCGTCCCTTGGGCAACGTCCTTGCAGACGGCCAATTCTCTCACACCAGAAGTGACTTGCAGATTCCCAAGTCTCTCCTGACACACACACACACACACACACACACACAAACCAAGTGAACAGCATGGTTATTTGAGGATTTCAACCCAGCTGCCTTCTGATATTGGGAAATACCTTCTGTAGCTGCAACGCCATACTGATCGTAAAAAAAGTAGAATTGCAGTCTCTCTTATGGTAACATGTGTTGAAAAAATAAATAAATGGATGGACAACTTTGAAAGAAGCGAAAGCACACTTCACACCCAAACACCAAAACTGAAAGTGGCACAAAATTAGAAAAATAAATAAATAAACAGGATTGAAACTGGAAGTGCCCACACAATCATATAGTTGTTATTTTCCATCAAGTCGGCTTGGAGCCCTGGTGGCACAATGAGGTGAAACCCTTCTGCTGGCAGGCTTTTGACTGAACGGTCAGCTGTTTGAATCTGGAGAGTGTGGTGAGCTCCATCTGTCAGCTCCAGCTTCTCATGCAGGGATACGAGAAAAGCCTCCCACAGGATGGTAAAACATCCCGCTGTCCCCTGGGCAACGTACTTGCAGACAGCCAATTCTCCCTCACCAGAAGCAACTTGCAGTTTCTGAAGTTGCTTCTGACACAAAAAAACAAGCTTTGACTTACAGAAACCCAATGAATGAGTTTTAACAAACTTGCAAACTCAGAATTATACGTTTCCCTTTCTTTCCTCCCACTTCTCACTTTTCCCCAGTAAAGTAAATAAAAATAAAAGTATAGCTAAGTCTGAAACTGCAAAATGGGTGGATGATTATAGGTGGCTATCATTAAAAGGAAATGTTCCTCTCTAATCAGTTATATGAAACCACTAATACAACCCAACACAACTGAATCACTTCACTTCTGGCCCCAGTATGCCACAGAATTGCATTGGAAAACCCTGAGATTCTCAGAGAGGTATTCTAACTAGGAATGTGTTAGGTTAGCAAAGGCAGTTCATTTGTAACTTTCATACTATTGCCTGGAGAACTTAGCAAATTCCTAGATGTGATGAGGTGAAAGCATGGATATGGGTTCTGCTGTTACATGGGGAACTTCAGCCTTCCAAATGTTTTGGACTTCAACTCCCACAATTCATAACAGTATACTGACAAAAGGCATATTCAAAGGAACATCCAGATTTCAGGAGAGGCCAAATTTTTCAGAAAACTCTAGAGCAAAAAGGAACATTTTCTTGAGAACGTCTCTGTTGCTGTATCTTGGCAGGAACAAGACATGAAAGCAAGTGGAAGCTTCCGGATACCACAAGTCTGGGTCTGCTTTCCTTGCATCTGCAATTGTGAATATGAATTTTCCCATCCCTTGAGCTGGAATGCGGTTGGTTCCTGTGAGGAAAGCTGAAGAGATCATTGTAGACATTAAAGCGACAAAGCCAGAACACATATCTACAGAAAAGTACTAAACATGTTGCTGGTGAGTGGAATAGGTCCATTTTCTGCTTGAGCTGGTGAATGAGCTCCCAGAATGTGTAGGAACATCAAACATTTGAAAGAATGGAAGTCTATATAAATAAAAATGTAATGTTTGTTTGTGGGATTAACATAACTCAAAAACCACTGGGGGAATTGACACCAAATTTGGACACCAGACACCTAACAACCCAATGTATGTCCTTCACTCCAAAAATTAATTTTGTCATTTGGGAGTTGTAGTTGCTGGGATTTATAGTTCACCTACAATCAAAGAGCATGCTGAACCCCACCAACGATAGAATTGGGCCAAACTTGGCACACAATTCTCCCATGACCAACTGGAAGGGTTTGATGGGCAGTGTCCTTTGGTTTTGGAGTTGTAGGTCACCTACATCCAGGGATCACTATGGACTCAAACTATGATGGATCTGGACCAAACTCTACAGGAATACTCAATATGCCCAAATGTGAACACTGGTGGAGTTTGGGGAAAATAGAATCTTGACATTTGGGAATTGTGGTTGCTGGGATTTATAGTTCACCTACAATCACAGAGCATTCTGAACCCCACCAACGATAGAATTGGGCCAAACCTCCCACACAGAACCCCCATGACCACCAGAGTGGGCCACAGCAACGCGTGGCAGGGGATGGCTAGTATTTCATAAATACAGTATGGCACCACATCTGCTGGAGATAAGTTTGGAGGCTTCTGGAGAACACAGTCTATCAATTTGACTTTTCAAAGTTTTAATAGTAAAAATCTTTGATTCTATGTGATATCCAATGGCCTCTTAGAATAAGTGGTACAGTACTAGGTTTGGCAAGCGTTTCTCAACCTGGGAGGCGGGACACCTGACTACGAATCCTCCTAACAAAAGCTCTCCTCCGCTGTGATTGCCTGGCCTCTCAGCCAAGAGGAGGGCTGTTTCTGAGACTCCAAGCAGGGGAAGGGAGAGCAGGCATGCTTCAGCACATGGCAGCATGGTTCACATGCTGCCATGAGCACACAAGGGAGAGTGTGCAAGGTTGGAGTGTGGCTCATGACAGCAAGTCTCTCCATGGGCGTTCCATGTTCAGAATGCTCTTTGATTGTAGGTGAATTATAAATCCCAGAAACTACAACTTCCAAATGTCAAAGTCTATTTTCCCCAAACTCCACCAGTGTACACATTTGGGCATACTGAGTATTCATGCCAAGTTTGATCCAGATCTATCATTTTTTGAGGCCACAGTGCTCTCTGGATGTAGGTGAACTACAACTCCCAAACTCAAGGTGAATGCCCACTAAACCCTTCCAGTATTTTCTGTTGCTCATGTGAGTTCTGTGTGCAAAGTTTGGTTCAATTCCATCTCTGGTGGAGTTCAGAATGCTCTTCGATTGTAGGTGAACAATAAATCCCAGCAACTACATCTCCCAAATGACAAAATCAATCCCCCCCAACCCGACCAGTATTCAAATTTGGGCATATTGGTTATTTGTGTTAAATTGGTCCAGTGAATGAAAATACATCCTGCATATCAGATATTTACATTACAATTCATAACAATAGCAAAATTACAGTTATGAAGTAGCATCAAAAATAATTTAATGGTGGGGAGTCACCACAACATGAGGAACTGTATTAAGGGGTCGTGGCATTAGGAAGTTTGAGCAACAGTTCTCTAGGCATTAATCTAAATGCTTTTCATAATACGAGCAGACCATTTAATCAATTGTATTTACATTACATTACAATTTTACATTAGATGGCACAACTCCATTTTGCACTTACGACTGGATTTATCTTTTTGTCTTTTGAAAAAGAGGACCAGTGGTATGTATTTGTGTGAGTAATCTAGAAGTTCAGGGTTCAAATCTTTGCTCGGCTATGGAAACCCACTGAGGAGTTCTGGGGCAAGTCACACTTTCTCAGCCTCAGAGGAAGGCAATGGTAATCTTCCCCTGCATAAACTTATCCAAGAAAGCTCTATCACAGAGCTGACTTAAAGGTACATAACAGCAACATTTAACATTTCTTACCGAGAAAATCCTCCTTCTTCTCTTCAGGAAGATCATGAAACTCAGCCCAAAAATCCTTGATTGTTTGTTCTGTCTTTTCATACCCGGTATACTTTGCATTCTGTGAAATTGAATTTAAAAACGGTGTTCTTAGTCCTTCAATACCTCTTTATATAAACCCTGTACTTGATTCATACATGACTTATAGTAAAGGTTGACATTAAGTCTAATGGTGTCTGACTCTGGGGGGTGGTGCACATCTCCATTTCTATTGTTTTATATGCTTTGATGTTTTGTATTTTACTGTTGTGTTGTTTATTTGATTGTAATTTGTATTGTTATATTGTAATTTTGTTCAGGCTTAGCCCCATGTAAGCTGCTCCGAGTCTCCTTTGGGGAGATGGTGGTGGGGTACAAATAAAGTTGATGATGATGATGATGATGATGATGATTATTATTATTATTATTCTAAGAGCCAGCGTTGTCCATAGACACCTCCAAGGTCATGTGGCTGGTATGACTGCATGGAGCACTGTTACCTTCCCACCAGAGCAGTACCTATTGATCTACTCACATTTGCATGTTTTCAAACTGCTAGGTTAGCAGAAACTGGGGCTAACAGCAGAAGCTCACCCTGCTCCCTTGATTTGAACCATTGACCTTTCAGTCAGCAAGTTCAGCAACTCAGTGGTTTAACCCGCTGCGCCACTGCGTCCCTTGACATTGAATTTTATACTCAAAGATATATACTACGTCTTTAAGCAGGAACAGTAAATTACTGGCTCCTGCTGCCCCTGTTCATGCAATCTAAAAACCTGCTCTTGGAAGCTGGAATACCTTCTTTTCAACACAACAGACAGCTGCAGGACAGAAGAGAAGAAAGTGTGAACACTATTATGTGTCTAATGTTAGATCCAACCCACTGATTTTACTCCCTACTGCATAACATCTGTATATCTGGCAATCTTTTGCCATCTTGCTCACTCTGATTTCTATTTATGCTAATCTTTTCGCGTAGGATCTATCCCAACTCATGGATGCACATGGATTTAATGAGATATGTAATGAAGCTAAAGCATCTCCCAAAAATGCAAAAGCAAAGTACAGAACTAACTCTCTTGCACACTTCTTAACACACATATGCTGCACATAGAACTCAAACTAATGCATTAAGATGCAAATCAGGAAGGACCTCAATAGAAGCATACCAGAGAATATAACATAGTTGTATAGTACATTTCATGCAGTGATGAATCCACCCTACCTTTTCCAATTGTTCCCAATCATATTTTTTATGTCCAAGCAGAACAACTTGGAGTTCAATAGGATGGAAGATTTTCCACTTCCCAGTTGGGCAGCCTCTTTCAAATCCACGCATAAAATCTGCAAACTGCTTCTCAACTGATGCGGTGAATATGTAATGCACATAAGCATCCACATATTGTTTTCTGTAAACAGACCAATAAGTTAATTTAACAATTTACTACATTTTTTTTGCTGAAGAAATGTATTTTTTTTTTATCCTGTGAAGATTAATTAAAAATCACAACTACATAATCTGCAGCTCATAAAAGACCCACAGTAAGATTTGAATTCTTGATTTCAAGGGTGAGGTTGCAGAAGGGGAGGAGGCGGCAATTGTATCCAATCCTTTGGTCATGTAGGGACCACCTGAAGGGACCAGGTTCATACAAACCTATACCTGTCTGTACTAAGCCTTACTATGTTTTAGCAGAACACACTTTTAATTAAGTGGATCTGGGATAAAAGTTTGAAAAAGCCCCCTTCAATAGCCAAGATTAATACTGATTTGAGAGTCTGGAGGAGGAAGGATTTTCAATGAGCACAGTAGAACTTCTCCCTGCTATCCACTAGTATTTCCTGCCAGTGTGTATCTTGTATTATAAGACTGGAAGTTCCATGATTTCTTTATAACTCATAATTACTCCAAGACTAAATCTAATTCAAAATGAAAGAGAAAAACTTGCCTGTTGAACTTAGTGACAGAAAGGTTGGCACCATTTTCTTTCAGCTCAATCTCAGTTCTGGATCCTTTATGTTCCTCCACTGTCTAAATAGACATAAAGTTTAAATAAAAATGAAAATTGTTATATATCATGAGACATGCTGTTCATTACTTTTAAGTGCTAGGTAATGAATGCAGGCGTATGTGTGTGTGTGTGTGTATGCATGTTCCTTCAACTCACCTGGCAACCTATGGCAACTCCACAAATTTTGTATTGTTTTCAAGACAAGAAATACTCAGAAGTGATATTGCCTTTACCTTTATCTGTGTTTGGTTGTTTCTAGGCATTGAATGTTTGCCTTTGTGTTTGTGTATGTTGGAATCCGCTCGGGGAGATGGGGTGGAATATAAACACTATTATTATTATTATATTTTACTGACACAAAAACACAGTATGTCACAGCAAACAAGATATATATGCTGGATTTCCTATCACAAAATCACAAGTTGAACACTCCCCAAGCATCTAGGACTGTGTGTTGTATTTTCGAATGATGCGCACAGATCTAAGTAAGGTGGCCTTTTGCAGTTGGCTGTGATTTTGTCAATGTTTATTGTTTCCAAATGCTGGGTGAGATCTTTTTGCATGGCACCCCAATAAGGATGATGATGATAAATAATAATAATGTTGTCAGTTCCTTCCTCTGAAATATAGCCTATAACACCTGGCATTCCTTGGTGATCTCCTGTACAAATACTAGCGAAAGCCGACCCTATTGAGCTTCCAAGATCAGAAGGAATCTGGTGCCTTTAGGGTATTAGGTGCATATACAGCCATAAAGAACTGATAAAGCAGTGGGTCCCTAGATGATTTGGCCTTCACCTCCTAGAAATCCTAACAGCTGATAAACTGGCTGAGATTTCTGGGAGTTATCGGCCAAAACACCTGAGGACCCACAGGTTGAGAACCACTGCTATAAAGGAACATCTTTTCCCATATCAATCTGTCAGGAAATTGATGCCATCTTACTGAAATGGTTATGTCTTCAGAAGTGAAGTTGGTGGTAACCCATGAAAGCAGTGGTCCTCAACTCTGGAAATTCCCTGACCATTCTTTCCTTGCTCTTCTCTACATCAAGATTTGTGCCTTTGGGATCTGCATGGTTGGGTGAGGCTGTCTATAGGAACAACCAGGACACACATACATATGGGCAGAGGCCCAAAGCCTCCACAGTTGCCAGGATTGCCTCATCTTTTCTCCTAACCAAGCAATCCAGATCAAGCTTACTGTAATAGCAGGATGTTAAGATTTCTCCTGCCTGTTCAACAATAATAGTGATCAAGATGGTGCTTTGATTGTGCTTTTCCTGAATAGCAGGGAATTGGACTATGTGGCCCATGTGGCCTATTCTAACGCTATTATTTTACAATTCTGTAAGATTGCTTTTCAGCTTCTTCTACTAGCAAGAAGAAAATAGTAGTCTCATCTCTGATGACCAGCGAAGTCCATCCCTGATCACCCAGCTGGACAATCCAGGGTGAGAGAATCTCCTTTGGTTTGCACAGAGAGCATCAGTGTGTAACAAGGTGCCCACTTGAACTTTATGGGACTTGTTGTTGTTTGCCTTCAAGTTATTTCTAATTTATGCAGACCCTAAGATGACCCTATCATAGTGTTGTCTGAAGCTGAGTGTGTGACTCACCCAGGAGGACCGAGAGCCCTTCAACACAGCCATATAACCCAGAATATCAAGGCAGAAAACCCCACAATATCTGTTTTGAATTAGGTTATCTGAGTCCACATTGCCATATATTCCAATTCAAAACAGATAATGTGGGATTTTATTAAGTTGTGTGGAAGGGGGCTCAGTCAGTTTCCATGGACAAGTGGGTTCTAGGCCAGGTCTATTCAAATTGCCTGAGTTCTCAATAGTAATTGCTTCTATCAAACAATTTTGTGCTTTACTGTTTGAAAAATATTGGATACTTGCCATAGATGCAGGCGAAACGTCAGGAGAAATGCCTCTAGAACATGGCCCTATAGCCCGAAAAAAACCTACAAGCACCTAATATTCCCATGCTTTGTCATGGGAGTTGTAGTTTTACATGGCCTTTAGCCTTCTCTGCTAAAAAAATAACATTGATTGATAGCAGTTGAAGTGGTGTCAAACTGCACTAATTCTACAATGTAGATGCACCCCTTGTTATAACTGATGAGAAGGGAATCAATATCTCCTACCGTGAAATCCAACTCCAGGTTTTCAATGAAATCTTCACTCTGTGTATCCAGGATAGTCTGAAGACTTCTAACAAGAAAAGAAAGTGTAAAGCAGAACATGCTGTTAATCCCAATGGCAAAACACATGTCCTTACATACAATTTTCCTAAATTGATTTTTTTTGTTTCTTGTTTACAATGACTACATTTCCATTGCCACATTTAGATACTATAATTCTATTGAGTCAGCACAGTGTAGTGGCTTGCATGTTTGATTAGAAGCCTGGGAGACCCAGGTTCAAATCCCAGTTAAATCATAGAAACCTATTGAATGAAACTGGCATGTCACACTCTCTAAGCCTCAGCAAAAAGCAATGACAACTCCCTCATAAAATCATAGAGTTGGAAGAGACCTTGTGGGTCATCCAGTCCAACCCCCTGCCAAGAAGCAGGAACATTGCATTCAAAGCACCACTGACAGATGGCCATCCAGCCTCTGTTTAAAAGCTTCCAAAGAAGGAGCTTCCACCACACTGCTGGGCAGAGAGTTCCACTTCTGAATAGCTCTCACAGTCAGGAAGTTCTTCCTCATATTCAGGTGAAATCTCCTTTCCTGTAGTTTGAAGCCATTTTTCCACATCCTAGTCTCCAAGGCAGCAGAAAACAAGCTTGCTCTCTCCTCCCTATGATTTCCCCTCACATATTAATACATGGCTATTATATCTCAGCCTTCTCTTCTTCAGGCTAAACATGCCCTGCTCTTTAAGCCGCTCCTCATAGGGCTTGTTCTCCAGACCCTTGATCATTTGAGTCGCCCTCCCCTGGACACATTTCAGCTTGTCAACATTTCCCTTCAATTGTGGTGCCCAGAATTGGACACTGTATTTCAGGTATGGTCTGAACAAGGCAGAATAGAAGGGTAGCATGACTTCCCTGGATCTAGCCGCTGTACTCCTATTTATGCAAGCCAAAATCCCATTGGCTTTTTTTTTTTTGCTGCTGCATGACATTAATGGCTCATGTTTAACTCGTTGTCCACGAGGACTCCAAGATCTTTTTCACACGTATTGCTGGTGAGCCAGTCATCTCCCATTCTGCATCTACACTGCCATATAATCCAGTTCAAAGCAGATAATCTGGATTTTACATGGTACTGTAGAAGGGGCCTTAGTCTTTAATACTATATAGACATACACACACGCCTATATAAGGAACAGTTATATCTCATACCTTCCTAGTCTAGGAGACAGCTCCTTCAGATCTTCCAGAGTTGGCTGAACATTTCTCATCTTCTTGAACAGAGCAAGAGGGAAAGGAAAGGCAACAATCTTCTGGTTATAGAGTGCCATCCCAAACAGGTTCCCAATTAGAAAATATATGTCTTCTTGTGCTGGTATCTAGATGGAAAATTAATGATAAAGTGAATAATACTGTTTTGAAGCCTCCCCAACTATTTCAGATTTTTTTTTGAATGGGGAAGACACTGATGTTTTCCCCAAAAATAAAATTTAGTACTGTACAGTTATTTCTAAACCAGGGGCTGTTTGTTTGTTGACTTAAAAACTAAACCATAATGCAGATGAGACAAAGATGCTCCTGATCAAACAAAAGGTAGACCAGGGAACAGAGATTTAGGCCACATGTAGATATAACATCTACACGGTCATATAAAATCCAGATTATCTTCTTTGAACTGAATTATATGTGTCTACACTGCCATATAATCCGGTTCAAAGCAGATAATCTGGATTTTATATGGCCTTAGTCTCAGCTGGAAAAGATTACACACCTGCCAAAATCTCAGGCTCAAAGATTGGGTGTACATCTACACTGTAGGATTAATGTAGTTTGATACTGCTTGAATTGCTATGGCTCATTTCTATGGACTCATGGAAGCTGTAGTTTCACAAGTTTTTAAGCCTTCTCAGCCAAAGAGTGCTAATGCCTCACCAAACTACATCTCCAAGGATTCTGTAGCACTGAGCCAGGGCAATAGTATTGAGCCATAGCCATTTTTTTATTGTGTCAGGAGTGACTTGAGAAACTCCAAGTCGCTTCTGGTGTGAGAGAACTGGCCATCTGCAAGGACGTTGCCCAGGGGACGCCTGGATGTTTTGATGTTTTATCATCCCAGCCATAGCCATTATGGTGGTGTCAAACTGCATTCGTTCGACAGTGTGGATGCACCCAAAGACTTCTGATCCTCAATAGTTTAGCAAGAAAATGCATGGTGAGGAAAACAGGAATACAAATATGTTCGGGAAAGGGTTTGCAAGCTTTCCTCCCCTTAATGGGTTTTCCCTGGTAACAAATAAGACGGAAAAAACAATGGGAAGACATGGGAAGGCTGAAAATTGGAGATGACTTCATCTAGAAACCTCTCTTAATGAGGCAATGAGCTCACACACATAAAAATCAACAGCGTGTGATTGCCAACAAAAACAGAAGTGACTTGTCTTGTTCTCTTGGCTATACAAAGTCCTAAATTCACAATTGTTCTGTGTTGCCACATTCCAGCCCTATATCACAAGCTACAATTGGAGGACAAGAAAATGAAAAACACTGCAGCATTACAATGGAGACTAGCTCCAACAGAGGTGCTTTATACTGTGAAGAAGGTACTAGTCATGAATCTATTTTCAGTTCCACTTTTTTATTTTGCTTTAAATAGTATGTCTCAGGGCTTTTCCATACAACCATATATAACCCTGAATATCAAGGCAGATAATCCATAATATCTGCTTTGAACTGGATTATCTGAGTCCACACTGCCATATAATCCAGTTCAGTGTGGATTTTATACAACTGTGTGGAAGGGGCCTAATTTGCCTTCTCATTTTCATGTCAGTGGCATCGCTATCTTGCTTCTCAAAAGGTTTATGTGCAAAGAGAATCCTTGTATATATGCCCACACTTGTTATGTCAGCATATCTATATAAATAAAAATGTAATGTTCGTTTGTGAGATTAACAGGACTCAAAAACCACTGGACGAATTGACACCAAATTTGGACACAAGACACTTAACAACCCAATGTATGTCCTTCACTTTAAAAAAATGATTTTGTCATTTGGGAATTGTAGTTGCTGGGATTTATAGTTCACCTACAATCAAAGAGCATTCTGAACCCCACCAATGATGGAATTGAACCAAACTTGGCACACAGTTCTCCCATGACCAATAGAAAATACTGGAAGGGTTTGGTGGGCAGTGTCCTTTGGTTTTGGAGTTGTAGTTCACCTACATCCAGAGAGCACTTTGGACTCAAACAATGATGGATCTGGACCAAACTCTACACGAATACTCAATATGCCCAAATGTGAACACTGGTGGAGTTTGGGGAAAATAGAATCTTGACATTTGGGAGTTGTAGTTGCTGGGATTTATAGTTCACCTACAATAACAGAGCATTCTGAACCCCACCAACGAAAGAATTGGCCCAAACCTCCCACAGAACCCCCATATGGGCCACAGCAACGCGTGGCAGGGGACAGCTAGTGGGAATATAAATAAAGCCAGAAATAGTAATCCAGAATTTTGGGTGCATCTGCATTTTAGAATCAATGCAGTTTGGGACCATCCTCAATGCTATGGAATATTGGGAGCTGTAGTTTTACAAGGTCTCTAGCCTTCCCTGCCAAAGAGTGTTGGTGCCTCAGTAAACTACTGAGACTTGCACAACTGAGACTTGTGCGCCAGGTGCGACCGTACCTCGCGAAGGCTGATCTGGCCGGGGTGGTCCATGCCTTGGTCACCTCTAGACTGGATTACTGCAATGCGCTCTACGTAGGGCTGCCCTTGAAAACGGCTCGGAAATTTCAACTGGTCCAACGGGCAGCAGCCAGGATGTTAACTGGGGCTCATTACAGAGAGAGGTCAACCCTCCTGTTTAAGGAGCTCCACTGGCTGCCGTTTATTTTCTGAGCCCAATTTAAGGTGCAGGTGCTTACCTACAAAGCCCTGAACGGTTTGGGACCACCCTACCTGCGTGACCGCATCTCTGTCTACGAGTCCACACGCTCACTCCGGTCATCTGGAGAGGCCCTGCTCGGGATCCCACCTGCGTCGCAAGCGCGCTTGGTGGGGACGTGAGACAGGGCCTTTTCTGTGGTGGCCCCCCAACTTTGGAATGCCCTCCCAAAAGATCTTAGCAGTCTACATAGGCAGTCTTCAGAAAGAGCTTGAAAACCTGGCTGTTCCGATGTGCCTTTTCAGATTAGGAACCTCAATACCAAGTCCCAGAAGCACTTTAGTAGAACCACGATCATTGTACACCGCACACTGCACTTATTTTATAATCCTATATTCCTCCCGCAATATCAGCACTTTTAATCCTGTACCCACTACTCTGGCCGGCCCAGTTTTAATAATTGTTTCGATGTATTGTTACTGTTCCTGTTTACTTTGCTTAACTGTTTTTAATTTGCTTTATGTATTGTACTGTTGTATTGTGTTCTGAGGCTTCGGCCTATGTAAGCCGCATCGAGTCCCCCAGGAGATGCTAGCGGGGTACAAATAAAGTTATAACAATATAATAATAATAATAATAATAATAATAATAATAATAAACAAACTACAAATTCCAGGTTTCAATAGCACTGAGCCACTGTGGTTGAAAGTGGGGTCAAACTGCATTAATTATACAGTGTAGAAACACTTGTGGTAACAATGAAAATTCACATTTTACCTGGCATGAAAACCAAATCAGACGCGACTCTTCAAAATGTGTGAATATCTGACATTTGGGAGCACACAGTTCCCTTATGAGGATGGTAAAGAATTCCTGAGACAAGCCTCCATCATCAATCCCAGGTTCTCCTTCAAATTGCACCTGTTGAAATAAAATCAGGTTATTCGTACTAATTTAGGTACATAGGTCATGTATATCCCCACTGTGAAATCTGCTTATTATTGGGCTGCTGTGAGTTTTTTCAGACTTGATTAACATTGAATAGCCTTGCAGCTTGAAATGTGGTGGGTTGCTATGAGTTTTCCGGGCTGTATGGCCATGTTCCAGAAGTATTCTCTCCTGATGTTTCTCCCACATCTATAGCAGGCATCCTGAGAGGTTGTGAGGTATTTTGGAAACTAGGCAAGTGAGGTTTACATATCTGTGGAATGTCCAGGATAAATTCTTAGAGAATTCTAGACAAGAAACCCCCAGAGCCAGCTAACACCTCCCAACAAAGGATTCCCCCAGGCAGGAAGCAGTCAAGCTTTGAAGCTGCAAGGCTATTCAATGCTAATCAAAGTGGCCAACTGCAACATCCACACTTGCCTCAACCCATTAAAACTATTTGTAGCAATAAAGTGCCACTTTAAAATACATAGTTTTAAAATGTTTTTGAGTCTTGAACAAAATCTGGCTACCAGTATTAAAAAAACTCTAAAGTCATATTGCCGAAGGCTTTCGTGGCTGGAATCACTGGGTTGCTGTAGGTTTTTTTGGCTATATGGCCATGTTCTAGATGCATTATCTCCTAAAATGTCCTTGTAGAAAAGCTTGATTCCATGACCTCCACTATAATGAGCCCTCCTCCGCAAATAATCTGTTTCTTTCCTATCTCACCTGAGTTTTTAATCAGTTTTTAATCAGCCTTTCTTTTATCCATTACATGTAGCCCGCCAATTGTCATTGCGATTGTGCCTATTATAATTTTATTTTGCTCTGTTTTCATTTGTTTTATGTAATTACGTAGTTGTTGTTTATTGTTTGCGTTTTCGGTTTTATTTTATGTAATTATTGTCTGGGCTTGGCCACATGTAAGCCGCTCCGAGTCCCCATTGGGGAGATGGTGGCGAGGTATAAATAAAGTTTATTATTATTATTATTATTATTATTATTATAAAATCAAACTCTGAAATCAAAACAATAAATAAGGAACAACCCTCAAAAAAGGGGGAATTCCAGACAAGAAACAATCAGGGCCAGCTAATCACCTCCCAGCAAAGGATTCCCCCCCAGGCAGGAAGCAGCCAGACCTTGAAGCTGCAAGGCCATTCAATGCTAATCAAGCTTGCCAATTGCAACATTGACACTTCCCTCAAGCAGACCAGTGTTCTTTCTCCCACCCTGGATATTATTATTATTAAATCAAACTCTAAAATCAAAACAATAAGTAAGGAACAACCTTCAAAAACAGGAGAATTCCAGACAAGAAACAATCGGGGCCAGCTAATCCCCTCCCAGCAAAGGATTCCCCCCCCAGGCAGGAAGCAGCCAGACCTTGAAGCTGCACGGCCATTCAATGTTAATCAAGCTAGCCAATTGCAACATTGACACTTCCCTCAAGCCGACCACCCTGGATATTATTATTATTATTATTATAAAATCAAACTCTAAAATCAAAACAATAAATAAGGAACAACCCTCAAAAACGTGGGAATTCCAGACAAGAAACAATCAGGGCCAACTAATCACCTTCCAGCAAAGGATTTCCCCCCTCAAGCAGGAAGCAGCCAGACCTTGCAGCTGCAAGGCCATTCAATGCTAACCAAGCTGGCCAATTGCAACACTATTTATTATTATTATTATTATTATTATTATTATTATTACTTTATTTGTACCCCGCTAGCATCTCCCGAAGGATTCGATGCGGCTTACAATAGGCCGAAGCCCAACACAATACAACAATACAACATTTATTTATTATTTTATTTATTTCGGTTTCTTCTACCCCGCCCTTCTCACCCCGAAGGGGACTCAGGGTGGCTTACAAAGGCACAATTCGATGCCAGCATGACATAGCAGTAGTAAAACAAAATAACATCAATTAAACAGTTAAACAACAATTCCTGCATTACAACCCTAAAACCAATAAAACAATACAAACCCAATTACTCCTCATAGACAGTCAGCGTTCGCTATCTCATAGTCCAAATTCCAATTCCACATTGTCAGTCCTGTCAGTCCTAGTCGTTTGATTGTCCTTATCTAGTTGTCAGATTGCCCAAAGCCCTGGTCCCATAACCACATTTTTACTTTTTTCCTGAAGGAGAGGAGGGATGTTGATGCCCTAATTACTCCCGGGAGTGAGTTCCACAGGTGAGGGCCACCACCGAGAAGGCCCTGCTCCTCGTCCCCACCAACCTCACTTGTGATAGTGGTGGGGTCGAGAGCAGGGCCTCCCCAGATGATCTCAGACTCCGGGGTGGGGCGTAGAGGGAGATACATTCGGACAGATACACTGGACCGGAACCGTAAAGGGTTTTGTTGGTCAAAACCAGCACCTTGAATTGTGCTCAGAACTGAACCGGCAGCCAGGGGGTGATGTGCTCCCTGTATGATGCTCCGGTGAGTAATCTGGCTGCCGCTCGCTGGACCAGTTAAGTTTCCGAACAGTCTTCAAGGGCAACCCCACGTAGAGTGCGTTGCAGTAGTCTATTTGGGATGTAACAAGAGCGTGGACCACTGTGGCCAGGTCAGACTTCCCAAGGTACACTGACACTTCCCTCCAGCAGACCAGAGTTCTTTCTCCCACCCTGGACATTATTCCACAGATAGATGAACCTCACTGGCCTAGTTTCCAACAGATTTCACAACCTCAGAGATGGAACATGGCCAGACAGCCCAACTAAACCCAATATTTAGTCCTTTGTAGGAACCTAGAACATTGGCTCTCGCTTTCCAAGGGACTGCTTTCGACAGCACACTCATTCAGAGGAAGCAGTCTGGTGAAGCTGACTTCCTTTCCCAGCTGACCTTGGAACTAGTGCTTGCAGTGAGGGCGTGCAACCGCGAATCATGCCGATGCTGCCTCTGGGTTTCCTGCGCCTCTCCGTTTGCGTTCCGCTCTGGAGGAAAGGCTCTCGGGCTCTCTTCTCCACGGCGCCCGGGAACGGAGGGGAAGGCCCCGAGGGAGAGCCGCAGAAGCCGCCCTTCGAGGCCAGCCTCCTCCAGGTCCTCGTCTGCCCCTTGTCCAAGAAGCCGCTCAGGTGAGAAGCCAATGGGCTCTCATTAGAGGCTGCATCTATGTAGTTTCAATGGTTCAATGCTATGGAATCCGGGTTGTTTGTAGTTTGGTTAGGCGCCTGCCCTCTTTAGCAGAGAAGGCTGCAGACCTTGGGGAACTACTCCTCCCAGGATCCCATTGACAGAGGTATCAAACCGCATTAACGCCTACAGTGCAGATGGAGCTTGCAAGCTTTTTGTATCTTTTTAAAATTGCATTTCATTGGGTGGCTGTGAAGCTTCTGGGCTGTATGGCCATGTTCCTGAAGCATTCTCTCCTGACATTTCGCCTACATCTATAGCTGTGAGCTTTGTTGGAAACTAGGCAAGTGGGGTTTATATATCTGTGGAATAATGTCCAAGGGAGGAAAAAGAACTCTTGTCTGCTTGAGGAAACTGTGAATGTTGCAATTGACCACCTTGGTTAGCACTGAATGGCCTTGCAGCTTCAAGGTCCGGCTGCTTCCTGTCTGGAGGAATCCTTTGTTGAAAAATGATTAGCTGGCCCTAATCATTTTATGATTAGGGCCAGCTAATTAATCATTAATCATTTTTAATGGTTTGAAGCCGGGGAGAGGGGGATGAGCTCCCTCTATCAGCTCCAGCTCCTCATGCAGGGACATGAAAAAAGCCTCCCGCAAGGATGATAAAACATCAAATCATCCGGGTGTCCCCTGGGCAACGTCCTTGCAGATAACCAATTCTCTCACACCAGAAGCGACTTGCAGTTTCTCAGGTCGCTCCTGACACGACACAAAAATAAGCTGGCCCTGATTCTTTCTTGTCTGAGAATCATAGAATCATAGAATTGGAAGAGACCTCATGGGCCATCCAGTCCAACCCCCTGCCAAGAAACAGGAATATTGCATTCAAAGCACCCCTGACAGATGGCCATCCAGCATCTGTTTAAAAGCTTCCAAAGAAGGAGCCTCCACCACACTCCCGGGGCAGAGAGTTCCATTGCTGAACTGCTCTCACAGTCAGAAAGTTCTTCCTCGTGTTCAGATGGAATCTCCTCTCTTGTAGTTTGAAGCCATTGTTCCGCGTCCTAGTCTCCAGGGAAGCAGAAAACAAGCTTGCTCCCTCCTCCCTGTGGCTTCCTCTCACATATTTATACATGGCTATCATATCTCCTCTCAGCCTTCTCTTCACCAGGCTAAATATGCCCAGCTCCTTAAGCCGCTCCTCCTAGGGCTTGTTCTTCAGACCCTTGATCATTTTAGTCGCCCTCCTCTGGACACATTCCAGCTTTTCAATATCTTTCTTCAATTGTGGTGCCCAGAATTGGACACAATATTCCAGGTGTGGTCTAACCAAGGTGAAATAGAGGGGTAGCAATTCCCTCGTTTTTTTAGTGTGGTTCTTTATTTACTGTTTTGATGTTAGAGTTTGATTTTATTTATTTATTTATTTATGACATTTATGTGTCGCCCTTCTCACCTCGAAGGGGATTCAGAGCAGCTTACAAGATATATGTATATATACATACAATATATATTATTAGCATATTACAATATCAGTATTATATATTACTATATTGTACTTATACCATTATATTGTATTATTAATAATATTACATGTAATATAAAATATATTATTATAATATATTATTAGTACTATGTTGTATTACATATTATAAATATTATATGAATAATAATAATAATAATAATAATAATAATCCTTTATTTATACCCCGCTACCATCTCCTGCAGGACTCAATGCGGCTTACAAGAGGGCAAACCCAAATACATCATAAAACATAACAATAACAGTACAACAATAAATAACTCATAACAAAACAAACAATACAATAATAACCTGATGCAATTAAAAACCTGTGGCAGGGCCAAATGTAAGAATTAAAAATTTTAAATGCTGGGCATGTCCAGGGAAATAGGTTGGCTATCTTAAAGATAGGTGGGCATGCAGACAGTACTAACTCTCTCGTAAAGTGCATTTGGGACATACTGCTTGGGAGTCCTTATTCTGGGAAGGCACACTGGAACATCCACGTCTTCAAGCTCCTTCTAAAAACTGCCAACATTGGTGCCTGCCTGATGTCCTTGGGCATGGAGTTCCAGAGTTGTGGGGCCACCACCGAAAAGGCCCTGTCCCTCGTCCCCACCAATTATTATAAATTATTAGCATAGCGCAGGAGACAAGGTGGAACTGTCTTCTGGCCCCCTCTCTCTTCACTCTTGCCCAGAGCCGCAGTTGGTGCTGGGGGATAGGGGACCCCAACTGATGACATATCAGTAAGGAGAGAATGCTTCTAGAACATGGTCATATAGCCTGAAAAACCTCCAACAACCCAGTGATTCCAGCCATGAAAGCCTTCAACAATACAATTTTAGAGTTTTTTAAAATACTGGTAGCCAGATTTTGTTCAGCACTCAAAAACAGTTTTGAACTATGTATTTTAAAGTGGCAGTTTATTGCTACAAATGGTTTTAATGGGTTTTAATCTTATGTTAGTGTCTTTTAATATAATAATAATAATAATAATAATAATAATAATAATAATAATCTTGATTTATACCCCGCCACCATCTCCCACAGGACTTGGGGTGGCTCACAAAACACTCAAAGGTGCAAATGCATAAAATACAACTAGTGCATAAACAATAACACAAAAGCAATAATAACATAAAAATCATAAAATCCCACTGGTTAAAAACAATAAAATTCAATAATAGCTGCAGATAATTAAAAACTGCAGTCCTTATCAGTGTCGTAAAGTGCAAGGTGAAATCTCTGGGTCCTCAAATATGTTCATTTAGGATTTCTAAACATGGTCAAGGGCTGGTCTAAAAAACCATGTCTTCAGCTGTGTTTTTATATGTGCTTTTAATGGTTTAATCTATATAATTTAACTATGATGTACTCTGTCTTAAGGAGAGATGGGTAAGATGATGGTGGTGTTTATATTATTATTATTATTATTATTATTATTATTATTATTATTATTATTATTTATTAGAAACACAACAAGATCAGTACACAGCAAACAAGATCACTATGCTGGCTGTTGTGTTAGACACTTCCCAAGTGTCTAGGACTGTGTGATGTATCGGCGAATAATGTGTGCAGATCCCAGTAGGGTGGCCTATTATTATTATTATTATTATTATTATTATTATTATTATTATTGAAACTAGCATATTACATCTTGCTGAAAAACTGGTTTGCTTACTTCTTTGTCCCAGTACCATATTTATTCACCTGTGGATTTCTTCAACCCCAATCCTTTTCTGTGGTGGCCCCCTGGCTATGGAATTCCCTCCCAAATGAAATTAGATCTGCTCCCTCCTGACCTTTAGGAAGCTAGTGAAAACCTGGCTGTGGAACGAGGCCTTTACAGAATGATGGTTGACCACAATATATAGACTGAATATACGGATTGAGTTGGACATGTTTTTATCTTGGCGAACAGCTTTTATGCAATCTATCTTATATGTATTTGTTAATTTACTGTTGATGTAAGATGTTTTAGATTTTTACTGTTAGCATTGAATCCTTGCTGTCAGCTGGTCTGAGTCTCTCTACGGAGGTAGAGAAGATTGGGATATAAAAGTTTTAAATAAATAAATGGCAGTAGCTGGCTTGACATATCAATATTTGTTATGTTTCCTAGGTATGAGGAGTCCACCAATGAATTAATCAACGAAGAGCTGGGCATTGCCTACCCCATCACTGACGGCATCCCTAATATGATCCCCCAGGCTGCCAGGATGATTGGCAAAGACAAGCAGAAAGGGGAACTTGAGCGGACCTAGACGTTTTTCTTCTTATAAGAAATCCACAGGTGAAGAAAAATGTTTCTGTCTCTGCCTACGATGACGGTACTCATCCCGCTGTTGTCTTTAGCTGGACTGTTTTATTCGGCCAGCATTGATGAAAACTTCCCTCAGGGTTGCACAAGTACAACCAGCCTGTGTTTCTACAGCCTGCTGCTTCCAGTTACCATCCCAGTTTATGTGTTCTTCCACCTCTGGACCTGGATGGGCCTTAAACTCTTTCGCCACAACTAGGTTAGGCTGAAATGGGTGGACATGGACTAAAATATGTGCTTTCCTTTTATCTGTCTGCAATAGGATCCGAAATCTTCCCTAACAAGTAGTGGGCTAAACATATTTAAATAAACATCCACACAAGCGAATAGAAAACTTGCTTTTACCCTTCCAACTCTAGCAATCCTAGTTCCAAACCAAATCCATAGGAATGATGATGGATCATACAGATAAGGTGGATGAAACACACTGTAATTTCACGAGCTATCTGCTTTGCCCACAAGAAAGTGTCTACATTGCCATCTTTGGGCCTGTATAGTCAACCCTGTGCAGAAATATACCTTGGAAGAACTTTAAAGTGTTGCCAGATGCTTTCAAGCCGTTTTCACAGTTCCTTGGAAGAATGGCATTTAGTGCAGAATAATACTTGATGACACACTAAATGGATTTTCTGTCATGGCGCTATTGTGTTTCCAGGATGTCTTTTAACATTGTTGGACATGGTGATAATAGTACTCAGGATTTTGCTTTCATTAAATTGCACTGTTTTCTACATATAGCTTTTATGCTTGAATGAGTGATATTAACAGATTGTGATCAAAACAGAATTATAAGGAAACCGAAAGCAATGATTTCCCACTAATAAAGCAACTGAAAAACCAGGTAGATATGTAATTATTTTTTTGCTCAACGCTTTATTTGGATTTTCACCTTAAAGGGGATAATCCCCTTACCTACAATTTTTGTGCCATACTAATCTGGCTCCAGAGGGGTTTTCCAGACATTCAGAACTGGATTTATAGGGGAGAGGGTTGCAGTGAGAATGGGTTTTGCCCTTGTAGTTCCACTAAATAATATCCAGAATTAGATTCAGCCCAGAGGTTGCTTTTAAAAATGACAATACACATTTGTGCCTGCCAGGGGTTTATAGCAGTTCTTAAGGGATTTTTTGACAGGATTTTGATCACAGACCCTCTTTGTATTGAACTTCCTATGAAGTTGAGAGTATGACTTGCCCAAGGTCACCCTGTGAGTTTCCATGGCAGCCCGGGGATTCAAATGCTTTTCTTCAGTGCTAGTCCAATGGTCAAACTACTAGACCATGTTACTAGTAAGGCAAAGGTTTCCCCTGACATTAATTCTAGTTGTGTCTGACTCTAGGGAGTGGTGCTCATCTCCATCTCTAAGCCGAAAAGCTAGCGTTGTCCGTAGACACCTCCAAGGTCATGTGGCCAATATGACTGCATGGAATGCTGTTACCTTCCCGCAGAAGTGGTACCTATTGATCTACTCACATTTGTATGTTTTCAAACTGCTATGTTGGCAGAAGCTAGGACTAACAGAGGGAGCTCACTCCACTCCCCAGATCCAAACCACCAACCTTTCAGTCAGCAAGTTCAGCAGCTCAGCAGTTTAATCCGCTGTGCCACCAGGAGACCCTCAGACCATGTTAGTCATGTATAAGATATCCCTAACTGGACATTAAGCTTCACTTACATTAAATGCCAAAGTCACCACATTTCTATAAGTTGCTTTTGTTATTCAAGACTCTATGTGATTTGGTTGAATTGTAAATGGTCAGCCTATATTATGGTATTGGGCATTGAATTTTGGCCTGTAAACCGCCTTGAGTCGCCTGCGGCCTGAGAAAGGCGGTAAACAAATACAGTAAATAAATAATAATAAATATTACTTGTTAAAAGAATTATGAATTATTGCAAGTAACCTCAAGATTACACACCATCAAAGTGCTCCTTTCCATTACAATTGTTTACCGTAGATATACCAGCAGTCTAATGCCATATAAATTGGGAAGAGAAACTGCATATTGTCAGTTATGTAGAAATGTGCTCAGGGAGGCAGGACATTGGAAAAACTCATTGTTTTGGTGTATATATGTAATTCAAACTGCCATGCTCTCCATCTGTTGGCTTCAACTCTTGCTATCTTTAGGAATGCCTCTGATAGTGTGTGATGGGATTTGTAGTTCAACATATTTGACAGGCACCCATTTGGAGATGTCTAGTTTACTAGAAGACTTACTTTGACGCTCTGGTCTCCAATACAACTAAAATTAACTTCACTTTTTCCCTCTGAATTCAAACATGTGTGATTTACATCACACAAAGGAGGCAGTATCACATGTTGTGATACTGAGCTTAACAAGATTTCGTTTCCCAAAAAACTCAAAAAAGGGCATGGGTATATATAATGGTACTTTTCTGAATTTCAGATGAGTCTTACCACAACACAATTAGAGGTATAAAACTGAGTATCTTACTTTAAGAAACCGCTGAAACCAGTTTGATGGGGCACTTCTTATACACTGCCATGTATCCTGCATCAAATGTTGTCTTCTAACATGCAGCTTGCTGACAATGCCAGGGTTGTTCTGTGAGGACACACATATTAGGTCACAGGACTGTGATAAGTATTTTACAGTCATAACTTGCAATTTTTGATTCACTTACCAAGCTGCAGTCCAAATTCAAGCTCAAACAGCATAGTTTATGCAGAAGAATCTTATCTTCCAACTCAAAGATGCAAGGGAAGCAGATGAGTACATCACAAGCAAACTGAAATGACAAAGCAGTAGTTTACAGTATAAAATTGCTAACTTTCAAATCTGATACTGAAAAGTCTACAGTTTTACTAAATTTTTAACCCGTTTCATGTATTCCATGGTTAAAAAAAAGTATGAGAAGGTGTGGGAGAACCGAGAATTTTGCAGAAATTAAAAGAAATAAGGAAAATGCCTGGTGGTACTGATAGAGGACACATGAAACAGGACAATATGAATAATGGTATGAGATGTGAAACAGGATGGTAGAGCAGTATGATGGAGTGAAGGCCAAAATGTACACTCAGTCCCCTTCTACACTGCCATATAAAATCCACATTATCTGCTTTGAATTGGATTATATAGCAGTGTAGACTCAGATAATCCAGTTCAAAGCAGATAATGTGATTTTTTTTCTTTGATAACCTGGATTATCTGGGAGTGTAGAAGGGGCCTGAGTTGCATGAAGAAGTTTCATGCTCCATTGACTTGCATGCAGATTGCTTGCTTAAACACACATACAGTTTTGCCTGAGCACAATAATGCTTCTCTTTTTCTCCTCAGTGGATTTCAGATTTTCAGTGAAAACAAGAGATAAAATGTATTTCACTTTCCAAATACCTTAGAACACTTGTACTGAAGGTCATTAATATCTTCCTTGTACTCTATGCTCTAAACACAGTCTATAGAATAGATATTTCCTGGGCTATAATCCTAGAGTTGGAAGAGACCATGAAGGGATGTCCAGTCCAACCCCATTCTGCCATATAGCAACATACAATCAGAGCACTCCTGACAGATGACCATCTACTTTAAAATCTCTAGGACAGTGTTTCTCAACCGGTGGTTGGGAACCCTGGTGGGGGGTTCACAAGGGAGTGTCAGAGGGTTCACCAAAAACCATCACAAAACAGTATTTTTTGTTGGTCATGGGGGCTCTGTGTGTGAAGTTTGGCCCAATTCTGTTGTTGTTGGTGTTCAGAATATTCTTTGACTCTAGGTGAACTATAAATCCCAGCAACTACAATTTTCAAATGTCAAGGTCTATTTTCCTCAAACTCCACCAGTGTTCACATTTGGGCGTGTTGAGTATCTGTGCCAAGTTTGGTCCATGGCGATCATTGTTTGAGTGCACAGTGCTCTCTGGATGTAGGTGAACTACAACTCCAAAACTCAAGGTCAACACCCACCAAACCCTTCCAGTATTTTCTGTTGGTCATGGGAGTTCTTTGTGCCAAGTTTAGTTCAATTCCATCATTGGTGGAGTACAAAATGCTCTTTGATTGTAGGTTAACTATAAATCCCAGCAACTACAACTCCCAAATGACAAAATCAATCCCCCCCAACCCCACCAGTATTCAAATTTGGGCATATTTAGTATGTGTGCCAAATTTGGTCCAGTGAATGAAAAATACGTCCTGCATATCAGATGTTTACATTACGATTCATAACAGCAGCAAAATTACAGTTATGGAGTAGCAATGAAAATAATTTTATGGCTGGGGGTTTCACCACAACATGAGAAACTGTATTGAGGTGTCACGTCATTAGGAAGGTTGAGAACCACTGCTCTAGAGAAGGAGATAACCACATTCGGAGTCAGCTTATTCCAGTGTTGAACAGCTGTTACAGTCAGATTGAAGTGACATAATTTCATCCAGAAAGACAAAACGTTTCTTCAGATTAAAACACCTAGGCTTTTTAGTCATTGCAGGAATACCTGCATATGGTGGCCCTAATCAAGATGTTTCTTGGCAAATAGCATTCGAGTCTCTTGTAGGAAAGGGGTAGCAAAGTAAAAGCATGTTAAATGGGAAGAAAAATTCATGCTGAGATAAACATGGAAAGGCAAGACAGCTAATCAGTTAATGACACCAGAGAGACTAGAGCATGACAAAATACAGAGCAAGTAATCCCTACCTTGAGTTCATCTCCCTTTGAAGTAAGTCTTTGGATCAGCTGCTCCAAAGTTGTACAAGAGAAAACAGAGAAAAAAACAATATTTTGAAACACTTTCAGTGAAACAATATTCCCCTTTCGCGACATAGATGGCCAACTTTCTAATAGCTTTGGGTACATCTACATAAATGGGCCGTGGTAGCTCAGTGAGTTAAACTGCTAGCTGCAGAAAAACTTGCTGACCAGAATGTTGGCAGTTCATGTCAGGGTGAACTTCCGCTGTCAGCCCCAACTTCTGCCTACCTAGCAGTTTGAAAACATCTAATGTGAGTAGATTAATAGGTACCGCCTCAGCAAGAAGCAAAAGGCTCCCTGCAGCCATGCCGGCAAAACATGACCAGGAGGGTCTATGGACAACAGGCTTCTCAGCATGGAAAATGGAACAAGAGCACCTCTATATGACCAGGGCTGAGCATCATCTCCAGACGCCGGAGATGGAAAGGGAAACCTTTGCCTTTGTTTGTGTATTGTATGTCATTGTTCGGTGGCCCCCGGTGGCGCAGTGGGTTAAACGGCTGAGCTGCTAAACTCGTTGACCAAAAGGTCACAGGTTCCAATTTGAGGGGCAGTGTGAGCTTCCACTGTCAGCCCCAGCTTCTGCCAACCTAGCAGTTCGAAAACATGCAAATTTGAGTAGATCAATAGGTGCCGCTCCGGCAGGAAGGTAACGGCAGTCCATGCAGTCATGTTGGCCACATGACCTTGGAAGTGTCTACGGACAACGCTGGCTATTCGGCTTAGAAATGGAGATGAGCACCAACCCCCAGAGTCAGACACAACTGGACTTAATGTCAGGGAAAAACCTTTACCTTTATGTCATTGTTCACTGTATAAAAAGGCATTGAGTGTTTGCCTATATATGTGTATACTGTAATCCCCTCAGGGAGATAGAGTGGAACATAAGTAAATGTATTATTATTTTATTACATCGTAGAAGTAATGCATATTAGCAGTGCTATCACTGCTGGCCTCAGTATTATGGATATTCATATTTATTTTTGTTTTAGTGGTCTGGGAAAGTTTGAGATATTAGAAATGGCATTTTTGGAAAGTTTCACCTAGATACTGGTATTTACAGTCATAGTTGTTGTATGCCTTCAAGTCATTTTCAACTTATGGAGACCCAAAGGAAACTTTATTATGAGGTGATTCATCCAAAGCCATGTGTGACTCACCCAGAGTCACTTATTGGGTTTCCAAGATCGAGTGGGGAATCTAATCCTAGTCTCCAGAGTCATAGTCCAGTGCTCAAACCACTACACACACTGGCTCACTAATATTTATAATACAGTGGAATAAATCTGAATCTGAAGTATAAAAAACAGGAGGAAATGACACTTGACTCCTAAAGGAAAAAACAACTTAAGTTACTACTTACTTGTTCCTCATTCCATATATTATTCATACTTGGAGGAGTCAGCATTCTTTTCAATTCAGGAATGTAAAAGTTGCTTTCTTGGATTCTGAAGTTGGTCTTGCAATTTACCTGAATTTATGAATGCAAACAAAGATTAACAGGATATATGTGGAACTTGCTGCAAAATACTGTGGTTCGGTAGTAACAGTACAATGGAAGACAAAATCAGCGAGACAACTTTAAAGAAACTGCCTCATTTTCAAAAATGCCCAATTTTTAAAAAAATCAGAGTTATAGTTCTATCAATCTGAAAGGAGCATGTGTAATTCCCTCACTGCTGCTTATTTTAAAGTCAACCTGACAGACAGTGACTGATGTATTGTCGAAGGCTTTCATGGCCGGAATCACTGGGTTGTTGCAGGTTTTTTCAGGCTATATGGCCATATTCTAGACTAGAGGCATTCTCTCCTGACAAAACATCAGGAGAGAATGCCTCTAGATTCATGGCCATATAGCCCGAAAAAACCTACAACAACCCAGACAGTGATTGGCTTGTGGTCACATTGTGAGCTTCATGATTTTGCAAAAGCCAGTTTATTTATTTACAGTATTTATATTCAGCCCTTCTCACCCTGCCGGGGATTCAGGGCGGATTACAATGCACATATACATGGCAAACATTCAATGCCATTAGGCACACAACATATATAGACAGACATAGAGGCAATTTAACATTCCAGCTTCAGCTTCATGAGGGTATGCTCAATTCCAGCCACCAAGGGAGCTGTCACTTCACAGCCCACTTGTGACACCGGGTCCTTTGATGGAGTACTTCCTCATTCTTTTTCACGTTGCTGGAGATTTTTATAGAATTGCAAATTAGTTAAATTGGCATCCCCACGTAAAGTAGTACCTAAATATCCTACTTGACAGATGCAACTGTCTTTCGGGCTGCATAGGTCAACAGCAAGCTAGACTATTAATGGTCAGGAGCTCACTCTGACCTGAGCTGGCTTCGAACTAATGGCCTCTTGGTCAATAGTGATTTAATGCAGCTAGCTACTAATTAGTTGCACCACGGTTCTTTCCGATCCCACACTCAACACTCAAAACCAGGTAGACTTCCTTGCACAAGGGAGTTCTAAGGAGATAGTGCAGTTCTAGAGAAGTTCCACCAACTCTGTTTTCCATCAGTTGTAGACCCTCAAACCAAGTCTCCCCAGCTAACCTAGGGAGCATATTGAAGCATGTTGGCTGGGTAATTCTAAGATCTGATATTCCCTCTTAGTAATCTCTGGTGATAATCAATTGGGGTCGAGGTCAGTAGTAGTCAAGGTGCTGCCTTCGTCCCCCGCATTGCCTTTTCCTCCTCTTTCCTAACAGCCCATTCCCTCTTCTACCTAGATCAGTGGGTTTCTGAGTTGTCAGTAGGTTGCTAGTTGACCATAAAGCCATTGGTACGTAGTTCCCAGGTCGTCACAGAGAAAGTGGGGGTATAGAACAAATATTTCATCGATCCTTCAGTTAGGAAACGTTGAGACTCTCTCATACAATGCCTCAAACTTTTCCGTTCAAGGTCTCCCTACCTCATGAAGCATCTGTAGAACTTGAAGAGACGAAATGAAGTCCACTGATACGTTTACACTCTCTAAACATCTCAGGTGTTTAATGACAGAAGAGAGATTGGCACTGATAAGTCTTTGATACATGCCCACTAGATCCTTGAAGAACATGACGTCTAGATTAGACCACCAGGATTCTGTAAAGAGAGCAGATGAGTATACATTGCAGTCCTGGAGCTAAGCACACAAATACTTGTGGTAGAGATGTGTCCCTATTGTTCTGTCCCTTCAAGTCCACTCCAACGTATGGTGACCCTATCCTAGGGGTTTCTGGTCAATGTGTGAGATGTGAGATGAGTGTAATGCTTGCCATTGCTTTTCTCTGAGAGTTGCCCAAGATTGCCCAATTAACTTCCATGGCTGAGTCGGGATTCAAATCCTGGTTTCCCAGAGCCTTAGTCAATCTGATATACTCTCGCTGAAAGGTGAAAAAACACCCCTCTCCATATTTTCTTATCTGAAGGGGCAAATAAATTGTGTTATTATAACCTTTTTTTCTTGTTTAAAGGACTCTACCCTTAAAAGCAAGCTAGACATCACTGTAAGCAAAACAGACTGCTGAAAATGTGTTGTCGAAGGCTTTCATGGCCAGAATCACTGGGTTACTCGAAGTTTTCCGGGCTGTATGGCCATGTTCCAGAAACATTCTCTTCTGATGTTTCTCCCACATCTATGAGAGGCATCCTCTGCAGGAGTCTACTGTATACCATGCAGCTGTTGACTAGTCTACATAGGGACCACCAAATGCAGTGCCCCAAACACGAATCAAGGAACATGAAAGACACTGCAGGCTAATTCAACCAGAGAAGTCAATCATAGCAGAGCACCTGAGGAACCAACCTGGGTACAGCATATTATTTGAGAACACAGAAATGCTGGACCACTCTCACAACCACCACATCAGACTACACAGAGAAGCTATTGAAATCCACAAGCATGTGGACTATTTCAACAGAAAGGCAGAAACCATGAACATGAACAAAATCTGGCTACCAGTATTTTTAAAAAAACTCTAAAATCAGAACAGTAAATAAAGAACAACACTCTGAAAACGGGAATTCCAGACAAGAATCAATCAGGTCCAACTAACATCTCCCAACAAAGGATCTCCAGGTAGCAATCAGCCAGGCTTTGCAGCTACAAGGTCATTCAATGCTAATCAAGGTGTCCAATTACAACATTCACACTTGCCTCAAGCACACAAGAGTTCTTTCTCCCACGCTAGATATCCACAGATATAGAAATCTCACTTGCCTAGTTTCCAACAGACCTCACATCCTCTGGGGATGCCAGCCATAGAAGTGGGTGAAACGTCAAGAGAGAATACTTCCGGAACATAGCCATACAGCCTGGAAAACTCACAGCCAGCCAGGACTGATTTTTTTTGTCGTGTCAGGAGCGACCTGAGAAATTGCAAGTCGCTTCTGGTGTGAGAGAATTGGCCATCTGCAAGGATGTTGCCCAGGGGACACCCGGATGATTTGATGTTTTATCATCCTTATGGGAGGCTTCTCTCATGTCCCCGCATGAGGTGCTGGAGCTGATAGAGGGAGCTCATCCGCCTCTCCCCGGATTCGAACCTGCGACCTGTCGGTCTTCAGTCCTGCCAACACAAGGGTTTAACCCACTGAACATTCAGGAGTTATTTGTTCTTTAAGTGTTCCCTTCCTTTATATTTCAGAACACCTGAACGACCTTAAAGTATGCGTATTTAATATCATCAAAAATTATTTAAGTGAAGTGAATAAACCAGCTTTACCAAGGATTTGCTTGTCCTTCTCTGGAAGATTGCAGATTGCTTGTGCCAGTTGACCAAGGAGACAATCTGACGTAACATCCTCCTTCCGTAAGAGGACTGGCACAATGAGGAAGAGTCTGAGTGCTTCAGGAGAGGCAGGAACAGGTGAGAGAGAGCTGAGAAGCTTCCGAAGGGCCTTCAACATCTTCCAGAGGGGAAAAACAATAAAAGCAATAAAAAGCTTGCTCTAGAGTAGTAAATTCAGTTTAATATAGTATTGGTTTTTAATACTCAGTTTTAATTCCCCCAGGATTCTCCCGTGCAAAATGTCTTACCAGAAATTGGACCTCATAAATGACAATCCACCTTTGCAGATTGGATTTGATTAATATGATTTCTCTAGGAATGTCTATGTCCTCCTGTGTGATTTCCATAGTCAGTGTCCTTTGGATATTGGTTTTAATGGAAGGAAGTTGTTCTGCTTTTCCTATCGGACAAAAATCTGAAACTGCCCTTTTCTATCCTGATATATCAGATTTCAGGGTTGAGTCTTACCTGTGTGATGATTTTAGGCTTAGCAGCAATCTTTTCACGGAAAAGGAATACTGCTGGCATATCCACATTGGCAGCCTTCGATGATGCTCTGCATGTTTTCTCTCTGCCAGAAAGACCATGGACCAGTTACAATCACAGACTCTTCCCTTGTTTGTGAAAACATATCGATTCTGAACACTTTGCAAGCCCTATTTGCCTGCTTGGTGATAACGCATGTCTGCAGATGCCCACAGAATTTTCACATATTCTTGCTAATCATTAAAAGATAAACCCACCAAATTTAATCTCAGCTCTTGATGATAGAATGGGGGGATCCTCATATTAATGCAATTTACCTCTTCTCTTGAAAGCTTCCGTTGATGCAAGCGGCAGAGGAGAAGATCAACTTAATTTCCCTGTTTGGCAAAAAAGAACAAAGTACCAGTAGTCTTTTAGCTTTTGTTTTTGGCATTCAGCATTTCTTGCAAGTGACAAGGGGCATCTGCTCTGAGTTATTCTGACTTGATTTCTGTTTCTCTGTTAGGCTCCATTCTCAAGCATAACTCCATATTCAACATCATGCGTGGCTTGCTTTTCCATAATAGAGAAAGATGGGGAAAGAGGCAACAGAGGAAAGGGAAGCAATAGATTGGTTGCCTCTTCCCTTTCTCTTATTTACATCATGAGCAGCAATATCCAAACCAAGATCTGACATTTTTTCTCCAACTCAGAATCTCTGGGTTTGTGTGTGTGTCAGGAACAACTTGAGAAACTGCAAGTCGCTTCTGGCATGAGAGAATTAGCCATCTGCAAGGATGTTGCCCAGGGGACACCTGGATGTTTGATGTTTTACCATCCCTGTGGGAGAATTCTCTCAGGTCCCCACATGGGGAGCTGGAGCTGACAGAGGGAGCTCGTCTGCACTCTCCCCAGATTCGAACTTTCAACCTGTCGGTGTTCAGTCCTGCTGGCACAAGGGTTTAACCCATTGTGCCACCGGGTGCTCCAATCTCTGGGTTAACTTGCTTGACCTGGAAAATAGGCCTAGGATACATCTACACTCTAGAATTAATACAGTTTAACACCACTTTAACTGTCATGGTTCAGTGCTATGGAATTATCAGTGATGCAGTTTTTAAAGGTCTTAAACTTCTCTGCCAAAGAGAGCTGGTGCCTCTTCAAACTATAGCTTCCAGGATTTCATAGCATTGAATCATGGCAGTTAAAGTGGTATCAAACTGCATTGATTTTCCAGTGTATATGCATTCCTGGAAGTAGCTCAGACAGAAGGCACTCTTCTTTTGACCAAACAGAGGAGGTGGGCTAGAACTTAGACCATGCTTGTCTTGTTTAGTTAGTCTTGTCTAATAAATCTCCATCCATTTCTGGGGCTGAGGCAAAAAGGCTTACCCTGTTCTACTCCTTAAGAGGACTTTCATCCTGGGTACAAAAAATGATAGTGGGGCACAAGGCTAGATGGTGAGCCTCAAAACATGACATTTTTTGTTCAAGCCCAAGAATTCCTGAGACACCCAACACTGCAAAAACAGCTCCCACAAATGCATTAAACTAGAAGTGAGAATATTGTAATTCTCTAAATGTCGCCGTAATGAAACTCAGTGTTCCTCGCCATTCACTCCCTAATCCTACATTCCACATACACTAAATATTATGCTTTCCTCTTTAGTTTGAAATTAGAAATGTTATGCCATAAAAACCAAACTATGACAAAGATTGGCACAGAACTACTTTCTTAAAACAGCAACTGTAAAAATCCAGCAGAGACTTACTGTTCTATGTTCTGCCAGCATTTAGGATCCGAATTAGAAATCCACTTTTCAGTCTTTTCCTCCTCTACTCTGGCAAGTGTTCGGCTTAAATATGCATATTTTTGCTGTAGAAAATAAGACAAAAACCAGAATATGATTTCATATGCTAAGTATTTTTTCCGTCTTCCGGTGACTTCACAGCAGAGCCCCAAGTGAAGTTTGGAATGAATGTGTCAAAATATATATGGTCACTATGACCAGAATAATGTGGAAATTGTGCTGTTATGATTCCATAAATATTTAAGTTGTCTTTTAAAACATGCTATGGAGGATAAGGATGTAGTTCAGCCTTTCCAGAAATTCAGGGTTGTGTTCAATAAATGCTGAGTTACTTCCCTTCAAATTATTGCTGCTGAAGTGGAATCCTCCACAATCCAATATTTAAGCATTTTCGTGTCTCAGTATCTTTCATATTTGTCAGTAGACTTGTCAGTCCCACCAAGTTTTTCCATTCACTATGGCTTACCTTTTCTTTTAATAGAAGCACAATGCTTTGATCCTCTCCAGCAATGACTTTAACCATTTCCTCTGGGATATTCTTTCCTGCAATAGATAGTAAGCAGTTAATCACAAGTTATTTAAACAATGCTGAGCTATTATTATTATTTGGTCAGAAATCAGAAATGTTTCATTAAATTACAATTGTTTTTTTATCATGTCAGAAGTGACTTGAGAATATACTGCAAGTCGCTTCTGGTGTGAGAGAATTGGCTGTCTGCAAGGAAGTTGCCCAGTGGACTCCCGGATGTATCACCATCCTGTGGCAGGCTTCTCTCCTGTTCCTGCGTGGGAAGTTGGGGCTGACAGACGGGAGCTCCCCCCGTCTTGTGGAGTCAAACCGCCACCCTTGAGGTCTACAAGTCAGCAGTTCAGCCGGCACAAGGGTTTAACCCATTGTGATACCACGGCTCCTTTAAATTACAATGATAAGCATAAGACAAAATATGTTTACAGAATTATTAGTCTTGTCATTTTCTCTTGAAGTAGCTGTTCTCCCCTTTTGTCCATTTCTTTTCTGATCTTTAATTCCTCCATACAATTTGGCCTCACTCTACATTTGCTGCAGGACACCCACAAAAGTAGAAAAACAATGAATAAAAATACTTTCTATCTGAAAGAACACATTTCTAGGAATCTATAAATCTTTCAGCACAACTTTGTGGTCAACTTTTTCCAAAAGGTGACCAGAGAATCGCATTGGAGAACCTGTAATTGCCTACAGAACTGTTCCCTTTACAAACCTACAGGTCATCCAACACAACTCTGTGGATGAGGCTTATCACAGAGTCATGCTCAAGGTCCTAGAGATTCCTAGAAGAACATATTAATTTAATTTTCAAATAATAAATCTGCAGAAGTGGAAGCTGCAAATGTGGAGGACCTGCTATAGCTAATGGGAAACACCAACTTAAAGGTGGTTCTTAAATTTAGGATTGTCTTAATTCCAACCTGCACAACTCAACTATACTTGTAGAAATAAAGCACATGATTTACCTCGGATCATCGTTTGGCCATTCACAGTCAAATCCAGAGGAAGTGGTATTAGTCGGTCACATTTCTCCCCCTTTCCAAGCTGTCCTTCTGCTCCAAATCCAAAAGAATAGACTTCTCCCAGGTTTGGGACGTAGACAAGAGTGTGCCATCTGTTAGCAGAATTAAAGGAAAATTATATGTGGAAGCTCTATTGACATCAAATGTTCCCAAGCCTAACTCCCAAAACAACTTTGACTATGGAAGTGAAAGGGTTTTGTCAAGCATTTGGTGGTTTCCTCAGTGTAGTGGATCAGGATCAACCTATTTTGTGTGTGTCAGGAGCAACTTCAGAAACTGAAAGTTGCTTCTGGTGTGAGAGAATTGGCCGTCTGCAAGGATGTTGCCCAGGAGATGCCTGGATGTTTTACCATCCTATGCGAGGCTTCTTTCATGTCTCCACGAGAAAGCTGGAGCTGACAGACGAGAGCTCACTCGGCTCCCCAATTTTGAACCTCCGACCTTTCAGTCAGCACTTATGCCGGCACAAGGGTTTAACCCATTGTGCCACCGGGGGCTCCTATGATTTGGGGTCACTGTCGACGGTGAGAAGCCTTTCCTGTCATAAATACTGGTAGCTTTTAAAGCAGGACAAATTGTACTATGGTGCATCTTAAAATAATATTTAACAATGCTAATAGTTGGTTCCTGTTCTTGCTTGAGTTAGACATGCCTTACCTTCCACAAGCTATCTGAGATACTTGAGCTCCAAACAGCTCTGCCACCAGACGTGGAAACCGCTCATTGCGCCTGGAGTTGTGACCAAGTTGTCCATGGCTACCAGCTCCGAAGGTGCAGACCATCCCATCCTTCATGGACAAAAGAAAATAATGTCACTCCTCAGCACGAACAATTGCTGATGATTCATAGAAAAGGAACAGTTGTCATGGTAGGGCAAGTGGTTAAAGAAATCATCCAATTCCCTACTGCTGTTCTAGGCATGGGAAAATCTCTCTGAATACAGATGTCAGCAGACAATAGTACACACAATGGTACAATGACCAGGATCTTTGGCAGAGCTTGGACAATTTAATTTTGGGACCACAATTTGTTGTTTTCTGACTTATGACAATCCTATGGCAAATGTATCATGGTGTTTTGTTTTTTGACAAACTTTGTTCAGAGGCAATTTGTCTTCGCTTTTCTCTAAAGCTGAGAGTGTGTGACATGCCCATGACCTGCCAGTGGGTTTTCATGACCAAGTGGAAATTTAAAACCTTTCCTATAGAGTTTATTATTTCGTATCAAAAGCATTGCATAAATTAGTATAAAACTGATAAAAATAGAAGGAGCGCAGGCAGCTAAATATCTTTTGACCAAAAACGGGCAACAGCAATGGCATTGTCTGTTGCCTCCAAAAATTCTCCCTCTGTACATGAGGCAAGGCATAGTAGACAAGCATACAGATGTGGAGTTGTCTGTTCTGCTCCACAGTCACACAATAGTACAACACTCAAACTATTGCACCATCTGGCTCAGCATATAGGAAATGGACATTTTTGAATAGTTGATAATGTGTTATTCTCTATAACATATTCCGTTTATTCCTTCTATTTTTATGTATTGGTTTCATATTTTGCCTTTCTCTCTTAGAGAGATCCCAGGTGGCAATGTTTTTGCAATATCAGACCATTTAAAAATTCATAGTTCTTCATGGTTTGTCTGTTTTCTATAAAGAAAATGAGGACTTCTATACATTTGCATGGCTTGTAACACAGCATTGCTATACCTTTATACGCTTATATAAATTTGAATAAATTGCTTTGATTCATACATCAATTTGAGATAGTTTCTTTAGGCTTGGTCCAGTTCCATTAATGACTGGGTGTGCCTCTACACTGTCGAATTAATGCAGTTTGACACCACTTTAACTGCCATGGCTCAATGCTATGGAATCCTGGGATTTGTTATTTGATGAGACACCTTCATGTTTGGCAGAGTGATGACTGATGGATGCAGAATCCATGAATATGGAGGTCAAACTATATTTTTTTGCATTATGGCCTATGAACGTGGGGGGGGGGGGCAGTAGTCTGTGGTGACTTTTAAAAAATTGCCGAAACTCATGCAAACCTTTGATAGAACTGCAGTGTGTTCTCCACCACATGAAATGAATGCTATTTTCTTATCTTCCAAGGCCTTCACATGCATAGGGAAGCATCTGTCTGAAAGAAGAATCAAATGTTAAATGGAGCCATGCTGAAAGATTACCAATACATACAGTATTTAAGAAGAAAAATAGATAATAAAATAGTTTATCACTATACCTGGAAATGATTTTGTCTACCTTTATATACACAACTGGAACTTTATGTAAAACTAGCCGTCTCCTGCCACGTGCTGCTGTGGCCCAGTCTGTGTATGTGTTTTGTGTGTATATGTATGTGTATATGTGTGTTTACATATATATGTGTTGTTTTGCACATGCGTTGTAATGTATTTTTTTGTTTTTGTGTTTTTAAGTCTCTTCTACAGTGTTTTTCAGTGTTTTATGATTGATGGTCACTCGTTGGCCTGATAAATGTATTGAGTCCAAATTTGGTGTCAAGTTGTCCAGTGGTTTTTGAGTTATGTTAATCCCACAAACCAACATTACATTTTTATTTATATAGATGGTGCTGATTGTATGTTTGTATTGTACGCATCAACAATAACAAGAGGCTAAGGGTGCATCTACCTTGTTAAATGAATGCAGTTCAACACCACTTGAACTGTTAAGGCTCAATGGTATGAAATCAACGCAGGAGTTGTTTCCCAAGGACTTTAGCCTTCTCTCCCAAAGTATGCTGTTGCCTCACCAATTTACAACTCACAGCATTCCATAGCATTGAGCCATGGCAGTCAAAGTGGTGTCAAACTGCACTAATTCTACAATATGGATGCATCAAGATTTATTGCATTGTTTACTGTAAAAATACTCCTGTACCTTGGCACTGGAATGCTGCTTTAAAAAACCTCCAGCTAGATAGAGGATGAAGTCAAAGGGAGGTCTAGGTGGGTGTTGAAAGACTTGTAAAAAAGACCTTTGCTGATGGAGGCTTAGTTAGAGGAAATATATCTCGCCTTTCGTTTAACTATGGTAGGTATTTCTCAGATACGCATTCCATCACATTTATATCGGGTTTTTCCTCACCTGCTGTGTCTCCAAGTCCCAGTTGACCAAAAGCATTCTTTCCCCAAGAAAAGACAGTGCCGGACAAAGATAGAGCCATGCTGTGAAATGAACCAGCTGCGATTTGGGCCAGAGGAACACTTTCAAGAGGCCACACCGGCTGTGGTTGTCCAATGGTGTTGCTTTTCATTCCCACTCCAAGTTGGCCATATTCATTCTGACCCCAGGCAAAGAGTTCTCCTCCTTAATATGACAAGAAGCAACATGACTGAATGCAATACACACTTAGGTTCTCAACAGGTATATGTGTGGAGGTCTCAAGAAGTGGGTCAAGAATAGGGTTCCACAGCCACCTACGGATCCACAAGAATACTGATCATGGAAGACTATCCTACTCGCCCAATGAGGTATCGCCTAAATAAGTAAGTACAGTGGGCTGCAGCACCTGAAAAGGTGTGTGGACTATTTCCCTCAGGAATGACATCTCTTAGGATTCTCTCTCTAAGCTTCAGTCAAAATACATGCTACAGATGGTTAAAATATTCATAAATTATTTCTTCCTAGGTTGAAAATCAGGGCCAATATCAAGTACTATACATAGTTAAGTACACTTGATCTCTTAGGCCCCTTCTACACTGCCATATAATCCAGATTATCAAAGCAGAACATTCACATTATTTATTATTTATTTATTCATTTACCACATTTATATCCCACCCTTCTCAACCCCAAAGGGAACTCAGGACAGCCTTACAAAGGCAACAATTCCATATATCAATACATTGGTAAATTAAAAAAAAGTTAACACCAAACACATTAAAAACTTAGCATTAAAACATAAATTAAAATCATATGATCCACATCGTATTCCAGGGCTGGTCCGAGTTATCATCATATTAACTCAGTCTCCTATGGGCTGAGAAAGGCAGTATACAAATACAGTAAATAAATAAATAAACTTATAGTCTCATATTTCACTACTTCCATTACTGGCTGAAAGCCTGATCCCAGAGCCATGTTTTCAGTTTTTGTCCTGAAGGTCAAGAGGGATGGGGCAGATTGAATTTCATTGGGGAGAAAGTTCTGTAGGCGATGTGCCACCACTGAGAAGGTCCTGTCTCTTGTCCTCACCAGTCGCGCATGCAATGGGGGTGGGACTGAGAGCAGGGCCTCCCCCAATGATCTTAACCTCCAAGGTGGGTCATAAAGGGAGATATGTATGCTGCTTTGACCTGGATTATATGAGTCTACACTGCCATATAATCCAGTTCAAAACAGATAATCTGGATTTTATATGGTAGTGTAGAATGAAACTGCCACATAATGGCACCCCATGCAGTCATGTTGGCCACATGATCTTGGAGGTGTCTATGAACAACGGTGGCTCTTCATCTTAGAAGTGGAGATGAGCACTACCACCCAGAGTGGGACTCGACTCAACTTAATGTCAAGGGGAAAACCTTACCTTTACCTTGGAAGGGGCCTAGGTGTCCTTTGGTCTGACCAGTGCCTGGCTTGATTCTGCCTGGCTCTGTCTAATTTTGTGGCTGATTTTATTTTTTTATTTTTTTACCCGCCTCTCCTTTTGGCTTGAAGAGGGCATCACGCGGCCGAAGCTTAATTGCACACTTCTAAGATTATTGCTTTAAATTTTCTGATATTATTAACAAAAAACAAAAAACATTAGTGACACATAAATGATGCTTCATACCTTCTGAAAGTGCCATGGAATGATGGTCACCACACGCAATTTGAACAATCCGTTTGTTTCCTAATTCTTTCAGTAGTCTGTTTTATAAAAAATGCACACACGTGTCAATCAAGTGTCAACATTTCTGTAAGTACTCCACAATTTAGGCAAATGATTCAAGAGGGGAAACAACTTTGGAATCTGAGGATTATAACCCAACTTGAGTGGGTTAGCTATACAGTAGAGTCTCACTTATCCGACATAAATGAGCCGGCAGAACGTTGGATAAGCAAAAACGTTGGATAATAAGGAAGAATTAAGGAAACACCTATTAAACATCAAATTACATTATGATTTTACAAATTAAGCACCAGAACATCGTGTTTTACAACAAATGGAAAGAAAAAGCAGTTCAATACATGGTAACGTTATATAGTAAATATTGTATTTATGAATTTAGCACCAAAACATCGCCATGTATTGCAACAGCTGTGGATCCAGGCAGGAGGAAGACTATGTTGGATAATACAGAACAGGTTGGATAAGCAAGATTCTACTGTACTTAAAAAAGCCAAACTGAGAGCAGATGAACACAATGCTCATTTTGTGTTCAGTCTTAATGTATGATCCCCATACCTGCAGGACCAATATTCATGGATTCATTTTTCCACATCTGACAAAATAGGTCCTCTCTGAACATTTTCTAGTATATCCAACAATATTTTTGAACCAAAAGACCTTCATTTCAATAGGGTTCACTATTATCTGTGGTTTGATCTATCCATATAAAGTCCAGGAACATATTCTCATGCACACAGGAGTTGTGCTTATATGGAGGTTGCCTTCGCCGTCATCTGAGATTGAGAAAGTGTGACTTACCCAAGGCCATCAAGTGAGTTTTCATGGCAGGGATTTGAGCGATAGTCTCCAGAGTCATACTTCAAAGCTCAAACCACTACTTCTGGGATAACAAGGGGGACGCATGGCTCCAGATCAGTATGTGTGAAAAAGATTTTGGAGTCCTCATGGACAACAAGTAAAACATGAGCCAACAATGTGAAGCGGTGGCAACAAAAAAACAAACCAATGGGATTTTGGCCTGCATCAATAGGAGTCTAGTGTCTAGATCCAGGGAAGTCATGCTACCCCTCTATTCTGCCTTGGTTAGACCACACCTGGAATACTGTGTCCAATTCTGGGCACCACAATTGAAGGGAGATGTTGACAAGCTGGAATGTGTCCAGAGGAAGGTGACTGCACTGATCTAGGGTCTGGAAAAGAAGCCCTATGAAGAGCATCTCAAAGAGCTGGGCATGTTTAGCCTGAAGAAGAGAAGGCTGAGAGGAGACATGGTAGCCATGTATAAATATGTGAGAGGAAGTCATAGGGAGGAAGGAGCAAGCTTATTTTCTGCTGCCGTGGAGAATAGGATGTAGAACAATGGCTTCAAACTACAAGAAAGGAGATTCCACCTAAACATTAGGAAGAACTTCCTGACCATGAGAGCTGTTCAGCAGTGGAACTCTCTGCCCTGGAGTGTGGTGGAGGCTCCTTCTTTGGAGGCTTTTAAACAGAGGCTGGATGGCCATCTGTCAGTGGTGCTTTGAATGTGATTTTCCTGCTTCTTGGCAGGGGGATGGACTGGATGGCCCATGAGATCATCCAGTCTATGATTTTATGAATTGAAAATTTTTTAATCGCATCTACCCCTTAGCACTATGCTGGACTGCTGTTCCACGTTAGATTGAGGATCATTTGGACCTCCAAAAATAATTGCATGCAATATAATCGGAGGACTTCTACCTTGGTTCTGAATGAACACTTCCGGATGCAAGACTGTGTTCAGAAAGGTTTCCTTCTGATGAAAGGATGAGCAGATGAGATGCTTCAGAGTCCAGCAAATCCACTTTGCTATTCTTTTTCAACTTGATGTGTTCTGCAAGATTGCGCAAGACAAACTCAGACATAATTTATACATGTTTTTTATCATTTGGCTTTCAAATCACTTTGAGAATTCTGATAAATTGAACAGCATATAATAAAGACCAAAATGTAAATAGCAAGCCAGTGAAAGGTAGTGCCATGGCTCAATGCGATGGAATCACGGGAGTCATAGTTTTACAAGTTCTTTAGCCTGCTTTTTTGTTGCCTCACCAAGCTACGGCCTGTAGTTGTTGCCTCGCCAAACTACGGCCAGACAGTACCTTTATCCCAGGAGATTCCACAGCAAGCAAGAGGGTGGCCAGACATCGTTCCCTGTAAATGCGGAAGCAATTGCTAAAAAAAGGCAAAAATTGTGAGATTTCCAGGTGATGGAATATTGCAGTTTTGAGCCAAATATGTGGATCTTTGCATGTCTGTATGTCCCTATAATCGGAAATCATAGGATTTTTTATCTGGGTTTGTTCCCGGATTTAGATGTTTATTCCTGATTGGTCAGTTCCTAGAAAGATGGTGACACTTGAGTAGAAGGCAAAAAAAAAAGTGTGCCAGAAAATTCATGAAACGTGTAGAGGGCACATTTTCTCTGGCCGGGACAAAGTTGTGAATGTTGTACATCTTTTCACAAGAAGAGCAATCAGGAACAGCCATGTATAACCCAGGAACAGCATCCTGTTGTTTGATGCCACAAGTACACAACCAAATCTGTCTGGACAGATGGCCAGGCAGCCAGGCTCTAAAAAGTGTCAATAATGACGAAGTTCTGTTCATGACTTGAAACTGTGTGTTCCTGTTTGATTGTGCAGTGCTGAATTAGGCAGAAGTGGTCCTACCCCATAAACTTTGTTTGTGTGGAAGATACTTCATGAATTTTTTGGAGGGCATAGTTTCTCGGTGCAGGATAAAAAATGGAACTTTTGCAGTGATTTGCTGCAGTGTTTCTCTGCATATTGGCATATCCACATCTTGAGGTTTTTTTAAAAAAAGCCAAAGTTTTCAGCAGAAGTCCTGCAGCGGTCATCTTGGAAACCTTTAAATCTCACAACAAAGCATCAAGTCTGGACAACTGAGGCAGAAATCCCAGGACCAACAGATCTGTATGTGGACCTCTTCTAAAGTCCCTGGATTTTTTGCCCCTGTTTAAAACCTGTGATTTAGTGCTGTCTGGAAGCACCCTACAACTCCTACAACTCCCAGTATTGAGTCGTAGCAGTTAAAGTGGTGTCAAAGCAGTTACAGTGGTGTCCACAGTCTAGATGCTCTATGTGACATCTTTAAAAAATGATTACATAAGCCACCGGATGACACATGTGTATATGATATCCTGTCTCCAGAATAGAAACTGAAAAGCATGATAATGCAAATAATGGGTGAAAATTAGGCCTTTCTGATGTGCTTGGACTAAAACTTCCAGAATTCATTACTATTAGTTTTTCTGCCTAAGACTCAAAGTTACAGTCTTTAGGAGAACATGTTAGAAGCAGAAGTAAAATGGGAAAAAATGGGGTTCTGACTCTTCCAAAAAAAAAAAAAAAAAAGGAATATGTTTCAACAAACCTGTTACTCAAAACTAACATTATGTAAATGTAAATGTGAAATTAAATAACCATGGGTGCATTTGCACTAAAGACTGAATTATATTTGATACCACTTGGCTCAGCCCCAGAGGCGGCCCTTGGTAATTTTCAAGGGGGGGGGGGGTATTTTGGCTACCCCCCCCCCCAACCAATCACTGATATATATATTTTCTGTTCGTCGTGAGAGTTCTGTGTGCCATATTTGGTTCAGTTCCATCATTGGTGGAGTTCAGAATGCTCTTTGATTGTAGGGGAACTATACATCCCAGTAACTCCAACTCGCATATGTCAAGGTCTATTTTCCCCCAAGAGCGCCTCAAGAGCGCCCCTGGACAAAATCAGTTATACTGCAAATGTTTACTTTGCGTAATGGGTTGAGCCGCCCTTGCTCATCCCTATCATATCACGGGATTTGTAGTTTGGTGAGGCACCAGCACTTTGTAAAACTACAACTCCCATGATTCCATAGCATCTGAAAACTGCATAACAAACTGCATTAATTCTACAGCGACATACCCTTATTCTATGAAAGCTTAAACAAGCCAAAAAAATCAAACTTGTTGGAATCATCAGAAATGAGAGTAGCACAGTTTAAATCCATTTTAATGCTGATTTTAAATATGTCTTTTTTTTTAACATGTCAACTTTAAAAAATATGACGAAGGGTCTATTACAGCAGACTACTGTTGAGTCTGCACATTTCACATCATTTTTGTGTAACAGAAGCCAACAAGTTTTTTTTTTCCAATCAGATATCATGTTAAGTCATTCGTATAGAGGAGCCCCCGGTGAAAGCCCTGTACTGGCAGAACTGAAGACTGACAGGTCGCAGGTTCGAATCCTGGGAGAGGCGGATGAGCTCCCTCTATCAGCTCCAGCTCCTCATGCGGGTACATGAAAGAAGCCTCCCACAAGGAGGCCAATTGCAGACGGCTAATTCTCTCACAACAAGAGCAACTTGCAGTTTTTCAGGTTGCTCCTGACACGACCAAAAAAAAATTCTTATAGAGTCTTCTGCACTGAATTCAGATCTGTGTTTATTTTTTCTCTATCATGTGTAGTTTTTGCAATAAGGCTAATCAAATAATTCATGCATTTAAGCACTGATATCAATTAGATTCTATTGATATCAGTGCATAAATGCATTAATTATTCAATTCGCCTAAATGCAAAAACTACACAATAGAGTAAAAATAAATAAACACATATCTGAATTCAGCAAAAAAAAAAAACCCTATAAGAATGTATTGTTGAAGGCTTTCATGAACAAAATCTGGCTATCAATATTAAAAAACTCTAAAATTACAACAGCAAAATAGCAGAGGGAAAAAAAATCAGGGACATCTAATCACCTCTCAACAAAAGATTGCTCCAGGCACTGCCAGGCTATCAAATGCTAATCAAGGTGGTCAGTTGAAACATTCACACCTAGCTCCAGCAGACAAGAGTCCTTTGTCCCACCCTGGTCTTTCCACAGATATACAAACCCAATTTTCCTAGTTTCCAACAGACCTCACAACCTCTGAGGATGCCTGCCATGGATGCAGGTGAAACGTCAGGAGAGAATGTTTCTGGAACATGGCTATACAGCCCACAAAACTCACAACAATCCAAGGTTCCTCCTTTTTTGTCTGGACAGCAATTCCCATCCTTCCCTGGACAGGAGATGCTGTGAGTTGTAGTCCAAGCCCTGTCCCTTCCCCGGCTACTCACTGGGTTTCCTCCTCCTGGCCGCATCTGGGCAGCCTGGCTTCCCCGCTCGCTCAAACACCAACACGTCTCGCTTCTGCGTCCCCACGACGGCCAGATACCCGTGTTTGCAGCTGATCTGTCGGATGGCTCCAGGGCCAACCTCGCAAGCCTGGTCCATTTCAGGGAAGAGCCTCAGCCCCGCCGAGATGCCCGAGGATGGCACGGGTGGTGGGCCCGGCTCGGAGGGCGCCTTGCCTTTGCCTTTACGCAAAGTCTCCCTCTTGGGCATCTCCTTGGAGCATCTTCTCAACTTCTTCTCCCTTTTGGGCATCTTCGAGGGTTGCTTCTTCCTCGCGGGAGTCTTATGTCCTTCCATTTAGTGGGGGGGGGGGGGGGCCTCGACAATTCTCTTCCCTCTTGCAGAATACAAGTGCCAAGACAGAGGATGGGAGGAAAGTCCTTTTGCGCAGAGACAGCTGAGTGCGATGCAAAAGCCGGTCTCCCTCCGAAGGAGGTTTGATTCAGGGCGGGGAAGTTTTCCTTCCGATTGCCAGTTTCCTTTTTCGAATTGCTTTCGAAACCTCACCGGGGGGCGCGTCCTCCGAGGAAACAGAAACTAGTACTCTGGTGGCTCCTGTCTCGTCACGGTCACTTTCGATTTTCTGCAAACGAAAAAAGGAAAACAACAAAGTTGGATTGGGTGGCCAGGATCCGAGCTGATCTATCTTGGAAGCTGAGCTTTAGAATCATAGAATCATAGAATTGGAAGAGATCTCATGGGCCATCCAGTCCAACCCCCTGCCGAGAAGCAGGAATATTGCATTCAAAGCACCCCTGACAGATGGCCATCCAGCCTCTGTTTCAAAGCTTCCAAAGAAGGAGCCTCCACCACACTCCGGGGCAGAGAGTTCCACTGCTGAACAGCTCTTACAGTCAGCAAGGAAGTTCTTCCTAATGTTCAGATTGAAACTTCTTTCTTGTACTTTGAAGCCATTGATCCACATCCTAGTCTCTAGGGCAGATTAGCTTAGATTGTCCCCTGACATTAAGTCCAATTGAGTCCGACTGAAGTGTGGTGCTCATCTCCATTTCTAAGCTGAAGAGCCGATATTGTTCATAGACACCTCCAAGGTCATGTGGCTGGCATGACTGCATGGAGTGCCGTTACCTTCCCGCCAGAGCGGTACCTATTGATCTACTCACATTTGCATGCTAGGGCAGCAGAAAACAAGTTCTCTCCCTCCTCCCTATGACTTCCTCTCACGTATACTATTTATACATGGCTATCATATCTCCTCTCAGTCTTCTCTTCTTCAGGCTAAATATGCCCAGCTCTTTAAGCTGCTCCTCATAGGGCTTGTTCTCCAGACCCTTGATCCTTTGAGTCGCCCTCCTCTGGACACATTTCAGCTTGTCAATATCTCCCTTCAATTGTGGCACCCAGAATTGGACACAATATTCCAGGTGTGGTCTGATCAAGGCAGAATTGAGGGGGAGCACGACTTCCCTGGATCTAGACACTAGACTCCTATTGATGCAGGCCAAGAACGGAAAACAGAATGTTGGAGGACAGGAAAAGAGATTTAAAGATGGGCTCAAAGCCAACCTTAAAAACTCTGGCATAGACACTGAGAACTGGGAAGCCCTGGCCCTTGAGCACTCCAGCTGGAGGTCAGCTGTGACCAGCAGTGCTGCAGAATTTGAAGAGGCACAAATGGAGGGCGAAAGAGAGAAACGTGGCAAGAGGAAGGCGCGTCAAGCCAACCCCGACTGGGACTGCCTCCCACCTCCCCTCACTGTGGGAGAAGATGCAGATCAAGAATAGGGCTCCACAGCCACCTACGGATCCACCCCCAGGTTACCACTCTTGGAAGACCATCATCCTCGGACTACAAGGGATCACCTAAGTAAGTAAGTAAATAAGTAAGTAAGGCCAAAATCCCATTGGCTTTTTTTGCAGCCGCATCACATTGTTGGCTCACGTTTAACTTGTTGTCCACAAGGAATCCAAGATCTCTCGAGCCAGTCATCGTTGTCCATTCTGTATCTTTGCATTTCATTTTTTCTGCCTAAGTAGAGTATCTTGCATTTGTCCCTGTTGAACTTAATTTTGTTAGTTTTGGCCCATCTAATCTGTCAAGATCGTTTTGAATTCTGCTCCTGTCTTCTAGAGAATTGGCATTCCTTCCCAATTTGGTGTCATTGGCAGACTTGATGATCATGCCTTCTAACCCTTCATCCAAGTCATTAATACAGACCCTGAGCAGGACCGGGCCCAGGACGGAACCCTGCGGCACTCTGCTCGTCACTTCTTTCCAGCATGAAGAGGACGCATTGGTGAGCACACTCTGGGTTCGTCCATTTAACCAATTACAGATCCATCTTCCTAATGCCGTAACCCCTTAATGCAGTTCCTCATGTTGTGGTGACCCCCAACCCTAACATTATTTTTGTTGCTACTTCATAACTGTAATTTTGTTGCTGTTATGAATCTTAATACAAATATTGGATATGCAGGATGTGTTTTCATTCATTGGACCAAATGGGGCACAAATACCAGGTACACCCAAATATGAATACTGGTGGGGTTGGGAGGGATAGATTTTGTCATTTGGGAGTTGTAGTTGCTGGGATTTATTGTTAATCTACAATCAAAGCGCATTCTGAACTCCACCAACAATGAAATTGAACCAAACTTGGCACACAGACCTCCCAGACTAACAGAAAATACTGGAAGGATTTGGTGGGCATTAACCTTGAGTTTTGGAGTCATAGATCACCTACATCCAGAGAGCACTGTAGACTCAGACAATGAAGAATCTGGACCAAATTTGGCACCAATACACAATCTGCCCAACTGTGAACACTGGTGGAGTTTGGGGAAAATAGACCTTGACATTTGGGAGTTGTAGTTGCTGGGATTTATAGTGCACCTGCAACCAAAAAGCATTCTGAACCCCACCAATAATAGAATTGGGCCAAACTTTCCACACAGAACCCCCATGACCAATAGAAAATACTGTGTTTCCTGATGGTGTTTGGCAACCCCTCTGACACCCCCTCGAGACCCCCCCCCCCTGGGTCCTGACCCCCAGGTTGAGAAACGTTTCTCTAGCAGATAAGGTTAAAGTCCTTGTGCAGTTGTACTATTACGATTCCCTACAGAACTGAACCTATGCCAGTTAAGGTAGTGTCAAACTGCATAAATTCCACAGTGTGAATGCACGCCACCTCTGAGCATTCCTTCTCTAAGAAAATTCTATGAGAGGGTAGCCAGCCACTTTACAGAACGATGGCTGTTTGACACCACTTTCACTGCCCCTGCTTGGTACTGTGGAATTCTGTGATTCCTAATTTTGGGAGGCATTTAACCTCTGCCAGAGAATTCTGAGGCCATAACAAATTTCAAAGTCCAGAATTTCATAGCATCGAGCAGGAAAAAGTTAAACATGAACCAACAATGTAATATGGAAGAAAGAAAAGCCAATGGGGTTTTGGCCTGCATAAATAGGAGCCTAGTGTCTAGATCCAGGGAAGTCATACTACCCCTCTATTCTGCCTTGGTCAGACCACACCTGGAACACTGTCTTCAGTTCTGGGCACCTCAATTGAAGGGAGATGTTGACAAGCTGGAATGTGTCCAGATAAGGGCGACTCAAATGACCAAGGGTCTGGAGAACAAGCCCTATGAGGAGCGGCTTGAAGAGCTGGGCATATTTAGCCTGCAAAAGAGAAGTCTGAGTGGAGACATGATGAGGGTCATGTATGATGATGTGTGGGCTAGAACATCTTTATTAATGACTTAGATGAAGGGTTAGAAGGCATGATTATCAAGTTTGCAGATGACATCAAATTGGGAGGGATAGCCAATACTCCAGAAGACAGGAGCAGGATTCAAAACGATCTTGACAAATTAGAAAGATGGGCCAAAACTAACAAAATGAAGTTCAACAGGGACAAATGGAAGACACTCCACTTAGAAAAAACGAAATGCAAAGATACAGAATGGGGGATGATGCCTGGCTCGAGAGCAGTATGTGTGAAAAAGATCTTGGAGTCCTTGTGGACAACAAGTTAAACATGAGCCAACATTGTGATGCAGTGGCAAAAAAAGCCAATGGGATTTTGGCCTGCATCAGTAGGAGCATAGTGTCTAGATCTAGGGAAGTAATGCTACCACCTCCACCAAGTCTGGCCTCCTTAATGAGAGCATTCAACCCTCCCCCCCAACTTGGTTGCTTCGCTACATCGGCTATTGCTGCAAGTAATGACAGTGTGAATAAATTGTCAATATTTGCTTGAGATAGTGCTTGCAGTTCTCGAGGGACTCTTCATTTTTTGTGTCTCATAGACTTAGCATGTGGATTTGGTTAACCAGTTAAAATTCATGAGTAAACCAGGTTTATTTTAACCTGAAAAATTTCAGGGGGGGGGGGTTGAACCCCTAACCCCCCCCCCCTCAGCTACAGGCCTGATGGAACAAATCCAATCAAAATTCTTAAGAAGGATGCTGGGGGTAGACACAAGGGGCACTCCTGCTGCTGTCAGAGAAGAATTAGAAATATACTCCACTTGCCAAAATCTTCAATTATTGGTCAAAACTTTAAAAAAAATGGAAAATCGTAGACTCACAAAATTATGTGCAACTGAACAAACTAATGGTCAAATCCAAGCTTCCTGGTCAGAACAATTAATAAGTGGTTAGGTCATTTTAAACAAAATTTCCAGTGGGCGCTTTACTTAAAAGTTGATATGCCAAGACACTTTAAGAATCACTTTTACAAGGGCCAGATTTGAACAAATGGAGTCTATAGAGAGATACAGTAGATTAAATCATGTCCCACCCGAAGACTCGGTATCTGCACCGTCCCCTGAAGCCGAAGTTGAAAGTCTGAACCTCGTATTATATAAATGTTGTTTGTACAAAAAAGGAAAGGAAACAATGTTTATGGCCTTTTATTTGTAACGAGCTGGGATACAGTGGCCAAAACCACATTTTAAGTAGCTGGTTGTAACCCCACTGTAACAGAAGTTGCCCTTTATCTGTTTGAAGTATCTAAAAGGAGATCAGAGTATATTGATCAAATTGGTACACAGTGTAAGGGGAAGAGGACATCTGATATATATACCTAAGATTAAGGTACTGTAGAATCTTCCTTATCCAACCTTTGCTCATCCAACGTTCTTTATTATCCAACACAGTCTGCCTCCCATCCAGATCCACAGCTGTTTCAATACATTGTGATGGTTTGGTCATAAATTCACAAATACAGTAATTACTACATAACATTACTGTGCATTGAACTGCTTTTTCCATCGATTTGTTGTAAAACATGATGTTTTGGTGCTTCATTTCGAAAATCATAACGTAATTTGATGTTTAATAGCGAGACTCTACTGTACATTTGGTTACAAGTTGGCCATCCCCATTTATTTCTGTACTTATATACTTATATCTGTATTCAGACTAGTTGTATACTGTACGTTGTGTTTATATTGTCTGTTTCAATAAGGCCAATTGGCTGATCAATAAAAATAGTTTTGTGTAAATAACACAATACCTAAATTGTATTTAATTAATCAATGCATGATATAGAGGTAGTGTTCCTGTGCCTAAATTTGTATTTGAATCTGTTTGTCCTTGTCAGAAGAATAGTATTGTGAGTACTAAGAAAAAACAGAATAGATATTAACCTCTAGCTTAGTCCAACACTAAGTCTAATATCCAGCACAACAAACCAAAATATACTAAATCCCCAACTGTAGAAGAAATAGGCACCTGCCATTCCCACAGAAAATGTAGAATTATTATATGGTTTTTAGCACACACAGAGAACCACTGTGAGATGAGATGGTGAGATGGTGAGATGAGATAAACCCTTGTGCCAGCAGGACTGAAGTCCAACAGGTCAGAGGTTTGAATCCGGGGAGACTGCAGATGAGCTCCCTCTGTCAGCTCCAGCTCCCCATGCGGGAATATGAGAGAAGCCTCTCACAAGGATGGTAAAAGATCAAAAACATCCAGGCGTCCCCTGGGCAATGACCGTAAATGTCCATCTGAGGAGGAAACAGGAAAGGGGAACAGCTCCTATCCTCCAGGTCACTGGTGTGAAACCTGTGGCTCTCCAGGTGTTTTGGACTTCAGCTTCCAGAATTTCTGGCCATTAGACAAACTGGCTCAGCCTTCTCTGAGCTGAAGGCCCAAACATCTGGAGGGCCAAAAGAGACACCCCTGCTCTAAGTGATGACAAAAAAAAACCCATTTGCATAAGCTTATATTCCATCAACATGCTTCTTGGATCTTGACTATTAACAGGTGTATCCTCAATGGAGGAGCTCCCGGTGGTGCAATGGTGAAATCCTTGTGCTGGCAGGACGGCTGACTGAAAGGTCGGCGGTTCAAACTGGGGAACAGGGTGAGCTCCTGTCTGACAGCTCCAGTTTCTTATGTGGGAACATGAGAGAATCCTCCCACAGGATGGTAAAACATCTGGGCGACCCATGGGCAACGTCTTTGCAAATGACCAATTCAATCACACCACAAGCGACTTGCAGTTTTTCAAGTTGCTCCTGACACACACACGCACACGCACACACAAATAAAGATGTAATTAAGGAATTATCCAGGAAAATAATTCTAAAAGAAACAGAACTGTGAAAGGAGCTTTCAAATCAAAAAAGCTAGGAAGCTTATTTCAGCTTTTAGGAGATAAAGCTGTAGTAGAGAAACACATTGTTGCCCACTTCAAAAGAAGACATGATGATCCAGGAAATTACAACCAGTCTGTTAGACCACAATATCAAGAAAAAAAATCAGAACGGATTATACAGGAGTCTGCCAGTAGTATCTTGATGACAATGCAGTGATCAGCAGGAGCCAGTATGCGTTTGTTAAGCCTAAGTGTAGGTTTGTTAAGAACTGCCAAAAAAGAGAATCTCCATTTCAGACATTTTCATTTTCCTGTTTGCCAAAGCCTCGATTGTTCTCAATGGCTTGTTGCAGTTTCTCCTTGAGTTTTTCAATTGTGGAATAAGGTGGCAGGAGCAAAAGATGAAAACAGATCTGGGCTTCGGGGATATGATCTTCTGAAAGAGACCGGTGCGAGTGAATTGTGATCCTCAAGGAATCCATCCCCATCGGAGGGACTCGGTCAGTTCCTGCAATAAATACTAGATGATGAAGGGAAAGGGATTTGTTAGGCTTTGTCTAGAGGTAGGAAATATTCAAACAATCCAGAAACGTGTGACATAAATCCCAAGTGGGACAAAATGAAATACCTAAATTAGTGAGATCAGCTCTAAGGGTCTTTCTTTCCTTTTCCAATGATATGCACTGGCTTTTTGTTCTCACACGTGTCCTGGCTATATGTTACTGCATGACAGGATGAGGTTTTCATGTCACCTTTGATACATATTAAAGGATTTCAAATTCCCTAAATCCTTGGAGCCACTCAAAACTTGGAAGTTTCTTGGAATAGGTGTAATGACACATGTCCATATAGATCATCATATAAGGAACTTATCTTCAGCAATCAATAAGGATATCTCAGGGTATGAAGCAAAGTTTTGGGAAATCCAAATTCCCAGTTCATCTGGGAAACTTATGAAGTTGGCCACAGTTGGCTAATTTAATTTAGAAAGGTGTGAGAACTTCACACACAAGATTTCACAATCCTCTTGGGAGGAAGAGTGGAACAAACATACTTTTCTTAAAGTATATAAGATCTTTCCAGTTCCAAAAATAATTTTGCAAGGCCATTCAATGCTAATCAAGGTGGCCAATTGCAACATTTACAGTTGCCTCAAACAGACAAGAGTTCTTTCTCCCACCCGAGACATTCCACAGATATATAAACCCCACTTTCCTAATTTCTAACAGACCTCACAACCTCTGAGGATGCCTGCCATAGATGTGGGTGAAACATCAGGAGAGAATGCTTCTGGAACATGGCCATACAGCCTGAAAAACTCACAGCAACCCAATTGATTACATAATTTAGAAAGTTTGTTTTTTTACTCCAGATCCCATAATTCTGGGAATTTTACATCCAAACAACTAGCTTTTTTGGTCTCTGGTCAAATAATTATTAATACTTTCAGACAACTCATGTTTTGGAAAGAACTGGTTTTACCTCAGTCCTTCTACCTTTTACTGAAGTTCAGGGCTTCAATTAAGTTAGCAGCATTTTATCTATCTATAGTACTTCTTTGGACTTCTGAAGTTATCATTCAGGATTTCAAGTGTCTTTTGTGAAATAAATTAATGCTACTTCACTTTGAAGACAGAGACTTTCCAACATGACCTCTTGGAAAAATGATTTAAAAAACTGGTTTATGGATAGGATACTTACACAAGAAGGATTTTTTGTCAGTCAAAGGTAGCTCATGGAAAACCTTCCAGAACATTTTAATGGTAGGGTGTGTTGGACTGTATATCCCCCAGTACACAGCATTCTTTGAAACAAAACAAGATAGAACAAAACACTTTAATCAGACAAATGAAAAGACGTAAAAGTAACATTTCGAAGAGTGGTAGTGAATCCACATGGAAAACCTCAGAACTACAAGTGCACGAAGTTCAGACTAGCTATGGCTATACTGGGAGTCTGGAAAGTACCATCCAAAAAACCCCTTTTTCAAACTTTGGGGACCCTTCAGTTTGCACTGGGCCCTTGGAGACCTTGCTTATGGCCTGGCACTCAAGCCCTCAAGTCCCCACCACTGCAAGCCACAGCAGACTCACGGGAGCTATGAGAAAAGGTGCATATGAATTAAATTCTCTATGCACCATCTTCCATGTGCAAAACTATTGATCTTTACAGCCACCCAAATACTACCTGGCAGGGATACTCAAAGTGCAAGGCAGCAAAGGGAGGAAAACCTATGAGAAGAGTGATTTAGTGAGGCACTGTAGTGCTCTGGTGGAGAATTCTAAGTTGAATGTGTTGTCTAAGGCTTTCATGGCCGGAATTACTGGGTTACTGTGTGTTTTCCGAGCTGTGTGGCCATGTTCCAAAAGCATTCTAAGTTGTCTTCACTAAATTACAAATCCCAGGATTCCTAGGATGTTTCCACATCAGTTAAAATTCAACTATAGCCTTAAAGCAGATCTACAGAGACACTCGCTGGAACACCTCAGCAAGCAAGAGTCCAAAAGTGGCAGGCTCAAACCCAAAACCTCAATCAATGGCTGATACCAAATGAGAGACTCCCTCTTGGGAACACAGAAAACTGGGCGACTTGGAAGGCCCTGAACAGACTGCACTCTGGCACCACGGGATGCAGAGCCAACCTTAAGAAATGGGGCTACAAAGTGGAATCCACAACATGCGAGTGTGGAGAAGAGAAAATCACAGACCGCCTACTGCAATGCAACCTGAGTCCTGCCACATGCACAATGGAGGACCTTCTTGCAGCAACACCAGAAGAACTCCTAGTGGCCAGCTACTGGTCAAAGGACATTTAATAGAATACCAAGTCTGCAAACTTTGTGTTTTGTTTGTTTCTTTTTAATGCAATGCAACTGTTTTGGTTCACTCCTGACATGATAAATAAATAGTGTCGTGTAAAAGAACACTATGTGTAATACAAAGGAAACGTGCACACACTCAAATAATAGAGAGGGTGTGCACTCATGTCAATGAAAGAGAAATATATGAATGTAAGAGGAACTCTGTTCAATCACAGAAAGATGGATTAAGACCAGGACTGGGTCTCCATAAGGGCTAACCAGATTTCACTGGGCAATGACCGTAAATGTCCATCTGAGGAGGAAACAGGAAAGGGGAACAGCTTCTATCCTCCAGGTCACTGGTGTGAAACCTGAGGCTCTCCAGGTGTTTTGGAGAGCAGCTTCTAAAAATCCTGGCCATTAGATAAACAGACCAGCATTACATCTTGCAAAAGGAAATTCTATTCAACTGAATTGGGGTTATAGCTTTTAGCCACATCCACCATCCTGCTCAGCAATAGCCATGATGTGCAAGTAGCCCTTAGCCCAGTGGTTCTCAACCTGGGTTCTCCAGATGTTTTGGGCCTACAACTCCCAGAAATCCCAGACAATTTACCAGCTGTTAGGATTTCTGGGAGTTGAGGGCCAAAAACATCTGGGGAACCCAGGTTGAGAACCACTGCCTTAGCCATTCAGGTTACCCACTTTGATCAAAACAGGAAATTCACTTTGCACACCACCAACCTTTTCGTACAATTCCCAGTCATAGTTTGCATTTCCAATTGCTGCTTCCATTAGTTCTGGAGGCTCGAAGAAGTCAACCATGCATTTGTCAAGGACTTTGTAAAACCCTCTCTTGAACTCTCCAAAAACTTCATTTACAGATATGTTGAAAATATAATCTACATATTTGTTGACAAAATCCTTCCTGTAAAGCAAGAGGAGTGAAAATTAATAGTTTGCTCTAAAAATATGAAGAACCCATTTTGAAACCCTCTCATATTAAATGTAAGCTGATGGGTTTCTATATTTATCAAGAGTGTAATTCAGGTTTCATTAGTCCAACTCAAACAAATCTACAACTTTCTCATATAAGTTAGCCTGGTTTGAAAAAAGTTGCTTAATAGTAATACACTTTATTTGCCAGAAATATATTTTAGGGTCATATATTTTATTTATTTATTTATTTATTTTATTTACTTTGCTTGTATACCGCAGTTTCTCAGCCCGTAGGCGACTCAACGCGGTTCACAACAGAGCAAAAGACAGTCATATCAAAATAGCAATATAAAATTAACATTCCTAACATTATGGTGCATGATATTCAGCAACCTTAAACATCTGAATGGGGAAAATAACGTATTGTTTTGGAACAAGCTAGAAGAAGAAAAAACCTAGACAGTTTGCATTCTACTTAAACACACATCTTGCCATGCCATTCTTCCCTTTGCCATTTTTCTGAATTGGTTTTTACTTCAATTGCCTCCAATGTGGGGTGCCCTCCAGATGTTTGGGACCATAACTCCCATAATTGCCACCCAGCACAGCTGTAATTCATCCAGAACTTCAGAGATTGCATTTAAGTCATCATTACATACTTGTTGCTGTTATTCACAGCTACAGAACTGCCATTTGGAATTAAATCCACCTTCACATCATCCCAGAAAATCTGAAAAGAGATTTTAAAAAAATAATGTATAGACACCAGTTTGGTATTTATTGAAACTCACAATAGCCACCTCAAGCCTTCAATGTACAGTGAATTTGACAACAATGGTCATGAGCTCAAAATGGAGTGAGGTGTAATGGTCAGAGTCAAAATTGTGACATCAAAAAAACCCCACTACAATTCATTCTCACTAGAAAGAAAAAGATCCGTGTGATCATAACATGTCATTTTTGTTTTTAAAATAAATATTTTCTCACCTTTTCTTTGCCAGAGTAATTCAGGTTATTGTCCCATGAATTATTAATAGCATTCTTTTCTGGCAAAGGAAGACTTTGCTTATCAGTTCACAGCCTACTGAGGTCTATCCAGTATACCTTAGTTCAGTGTTTCTGAACCTGGGGGTCGAGACCCCTGCGGGGGTTGTGAGAGGGTGTCAGAGGGGTTGCCAAAGACCATCGGAAAACACAGTATTTTCTGTTGCTCATGCAAGTTCTGTGTGGGAAGTTTGTCCCAATTCTATCCTTGATGGGGTTCAGAATGCTCTTTCAATGTAGGTGAACTACAAATCCCAGCAACTACAACTCCTAAATATCAAGGTCTATTTTCCCCAAACTCCACCAGTATTCACATTTGGACATATTGAGTATTCGTGCCAAGTTTGGTTCAGCTCCATCATTGTTTGAGTTCACGTTGCTCTCTGAATGTAGGTGAACTACAACTCCCAAATTCAAGGTCAATGCCCACCAAACTCTTCCAGTATTTTCTATTGGTCAAGGGAGTTCTGTGTGCCAAGGTGGTTTAATTCCATCATTGGTGGAGTTCAGAATGGTCTTTGATTGTAGGTGAACTATAAATCCCGCCCCAACTCCACCAGTAATCAAATTTGGGCATATCAGGTATTTGTGCCAAATTTGGTCCAGTGAATAAAAATACATCCTGAGTATCAGATATTTACATTACGATTCATAACAGTAACAAAATTATAGTTACGAGTAGCAACAGAAATAATTTTATGGTTGGGGGTCACCACAACATGAGGAACTGCATTAAGGGGTCGCAGCATTAGGAAGGTTGAGAAACACTGCCTTAGTTATTAATTTGATTTATATTCCACTTTTCTCTGAGATAGAACTCAAGAACTGGTTTGTGGTATAAATTAAAACAGAGGACCTTATCTGATAAGGCATTATGTTGAGCAGTCACTTCATTGAGATCATGAAGACCTCAACCACTAGACTGAAAGCAAAGCTGTTTATTTAGTTATTATTCCGAACGTTAATGAGTTGATTTGATACTTTCGTTCTTAGAATTTTTGGAAGTTAATGTCAGTGTGTCTGTTTAAACTGGGATTCTTTCAAAGAAAACAAGAACTGTTCTAAAATAAATACGCAAATACCAGGTAAACACTTGCCCAATGTTTCATGATCTTGCTGGCCTCAGTTTCATGTGAATCTAAAGATCTTACTGAGTTTCTTAACTTAAAGGTTTGTTATTTGAAGAGGGACAGTAGTTGGGTAACAGAATCACAAATGTTGTGGAGGCACTTACAGAGAAGCACAGCTGAAAGTTTTCTTCAATGTCATCACATTCATAGTCAAGAACTGTCTGCAAACTCCTGGTTAACAAACAGAAAACAATTACAATATGTATTTTTAACCAGTACAGGCAGTCCCCAAGTTACAAACATGATACGTTCTGTAGGTGAGTTCTTAAGTTAAATTTGGATGTAAAGCGGAACAGATAACTTTTTAAATATAACTCCAGCTATAAATATTTATTTTGTAGCTTTGGGTAGCATAGGGAAAGGTTAACACCCCTGTAGTGTTTGTTTTGCTGTCTGCCCCTGTTCAGAAGATTGCACCTCACTTTTTGTCCCTGTAATTCGAATACTTGATCCTATAACCAGGCGTTGAGGTTTTTTTCTAAAAGACAGAAGGGATGGTGCCAATCTGATGTTACTGGGAAGAGAGTTCCACAGGTAAGGGGTCACCACTGAGAAGGGGTCACCACTGTCACCACTGAGGTCACCACTGAGAAGGCCCTGTCTCTCATCCCCACCAGTTGCATTTGTGATGATGGTGGGATCGAGAGCAGGGCCTCCCCAGGCTCAACAAATGATTGTGTTCCTAGCTTGTTTGAAGCAGAGAGTAGTGTGATATTTCCTTGGTCCATAAAGTGCCTGTTAAAGGGCTTGTCAACCAACTCCAATACAGTCACAAGACAAGTTCTACTGACCACTAAGATAGAATTATTTTAAGGCATCTACTGCCCAATTGTAAAGAAGAAGAGCACAATCCCCATTCAAAAGAGTATTTTTTAGGATCAACATGCTAGCAAGGATCTACTCACATCCTTGTTTCTAGAATGTATTTGTGCATTTTATCTGAGAAAAGTTAAGACTCATTACTATAGGAGAGGAGAACTGAGAATGCATACAGAACCTGTTGTGAACTTTGTCCACATCTATGCAAATAGAACTAGTTGGTCTATTCAACCTAGGCCTATGAAGGCTGGATATATAGACTTATTGATGGAAAAAACATAAACCATTTACCTCCCAAGTACAGGGTCCAGCTCTTTTAAGTCCTCAAGGGTGGGTTTCTTGTCAAGCAGTTTTTTAAAAGCAGCAAGTGGGAAAGGCACATAGGCAATGACTCTGTTGAACATGGCAAGGCCACAGAGGATCCCAAAAAAATAGTATTTATTCTTGGCTACTTTTTTCTGCAAGAGAGAAAAAACATACAATAACATGAAATAGTTCCATGTTCCTATGGCCAACACAAATTGTTGTTCTTGGGTTGCAATGTCCATTGTGATCAGCAGGATTGGTCTAAGATCTTAGAAAAAGGCACCACTTTCAAATGTTACCATGTTGAAAACTCTATGAATTATATTCAAAAGGGTAGGATAAGTTGTAGGATAAGGGGAGCTCCCAATCCCACTAGATGCAGATAATTTTGAATTGAATACTAACAACTGAATTTCAACAGGAAAGGCAAAAAGCATGAAACAATGATATCAAAATGTGTTGGGGAACCCAAAAGGCAACAGGAGGTATATGTATGAAGTCTTGCCAGCAAAAGAGGTCAAGACACCTGAGAGCCAATGTATGGCTTATGGATACCTGTTGAATATCCTGGTCAGAGTGAGGCAGGCATGTTGGAAAGGTGAGGAAATGGTAATAGGTGAAATCTTGAATACCCTAGGAGTTTATCTGGACTGACTTCAAATCACTGAAACTCACCCTGGTACAAAACCACATCGGAGAACTTGGATGAGGATACATAAACATCCCATAGTCTGGCTGCACCATAACCTCAAAAAGATGTGAAAAGAATTCCAAAAGAACCCCTCCAGCTTCAAATCTAGACATCTCTCCTTCAAATTCAACCTGTAAGGAAAAAATAAAGACAAGTGTTTTGAACCCCACAGAAAGGAGGGAAACCTTGGTTTCCCAATGGCATGGAAAGTGCCTATTTGTAAGGGAGGATCTTAGCTCTCCGCCTTCACTGGAAAAACATAAATAAAAAGGCTTTTTTTAACACGACTCTAGGAATCTCTAGGACCTTCAGCAAAAACAGTAGTTCCTACCTGTGTTCCACAAGAACAAAAATATGGTCCATGACCTCAAAATTACTACACGGTTGCCTCAAAACCACAAGAGCGACTGGTCTCGTGAAATCCTCTTATAGTGCCGAGGCAACTGGGATGTCGAAAGGGGAAAGATTACCATTACCACATCAGCTCTAGATTATTAAATATGGTTTTCTGTGGCGAGCAGATGGTGACTACTGGATGGCATATGTTCTGTATCAGAAACTAGTGCTGATGTGGTCTATCCAATGCAGTTTTCTGAATCAGCACCCCAAATAACCAAACCGAATTTAAAGTTGGTCAAAAACTAATTTGTAACTCTTTTGGTACTAATGTTGGAGAGTGATGTCTGGTCAAAGTGGTCCCTGGTCAAAAAAAGGTTGAGAACCACTGAACAAAAATGTCGTATTTGAACAAAGTTATATGCAGCTCTGGATCCATAACTGACTGGCCCAAGTCTAACTCATCCTGCAAATTATTGAGGTCTACTCAGTTCAAAGCCTGCTGAGCAAGCCTAAGTAGTATATATATGTAAACATGCAAGCATGCATGTGGGAATTTAAATAATATTCCATCTTTCTGCTTGACAAAAACTCAAGACGGTACAGGCAGTACCCAAGTTACAAACAAGAAGGGTTCTGTGGATTTGTACTTAAGTTGAATTTGTTTGTAAGTGGGAACAGGTACTTTTCAAAGTGTAACTCCAGCCATAAATATTTATTTTGTAGCTTTGGGTAGCATAGGGAAGGGTTAACACCCCTGTAGCGTCTGTTTTGCCCCTATTCAGAAGATTGTACCTCACTTTCTGTCCCTGTGAGAATTGGATTTTGAAACAAACTGGCTTGTTGTGGAAACAAGGGTTGGGGATAAAGTTTCAGTGGAGAAACCTTTTCCCCATAAATTTTCCAGGAGTGAATTTCCTTTCCGAAGGGTAGATTTCTCTCACTTCCTGTTGTCTCACTCCTGTTCTTAACTATGTGTCATTTGTGAGTTGGATGTTTGTAACTTGGGGATTGCCAGTATATGGATATCATCCTAATTGTTAAGCCAGTTCTAAAGATTGATATCATCCAACAACATTTCTTAATATGACCAGTTTTCATCAACTTACCAACAATTGCATCTTGAGAGAGATGTCCTCCACATGACTCAGTTTGTGCAAAGCGTTTTCAACAAGATTCTGGCGCCGCACTTTCAAAAGAAAGACGGGCAACTTGGGGAGTTCACTGCTGCTCTGCAATCGATTCAGCATGATTGTATGTTGGGCAGCAGCCTTCATTGACTGGAGGAATATAAGGAGCGATTTCCAAAGGAATAGGTAAGCTAGTTTTTAAAATGCAATGGGAATCTTAATTATTCCTGCTATAATACACTTAGGGTCCTTCTACACAGCCATATAACCCAGAATATCAAGGCAGGAAAGCCCACAATATCTGCTGTGAACTGGAATATATGGCAGTGTGGACTGAGATAACCCAGTTCAAAGCAAATATTGTGGGATTTTCTGCCTTGATATTCTGGGTTATATGACTGTGTGGAAGGGCCCTAAGAGAACAATTGTAGCATGTGTTTCATGGATTGCAAACCCACCTTCAGAGCTTGAAGATATTAATTTTCTGAACTACAACGTCTAGAATTTCTATCTGAGTTAGATGGTTTGCAGGGCACTCCAAAAAATTATAGTTTTCTCCAAACTCTGCCCACCTTTATTAGAAAGTGATTGTCATGATGACAGAACAGTTTACAATTAATTTCCCTCTGTCTAAATTGTTTGCAATTTTATTTCGATAGATAGATAGATAGATAGATAGATAGATAGATAGATAGATAGATAGAGATAGATAAGTTAAAGAAGATCTGGGAGGAAATGTAGTTCAGCGTTGCTTAAAAGTGACAGGAGAACCTTACTTCTAAGTTGCTATCACTCCCCTGGAAAAGACTGCAAGGGATTCACACTTGGCAGCCAAACTGTAAACTTGGGGAGGTGAGAGCAGTATTGGAAAAATAGTTTTAGATGTTGAAAATTGTTTTTTGAGTAGTTGACAACCGAGAAGAAGAGAATCCTGCAGTGGACAATTTTTTGCAGTATGCAAACTGTGTACATTGTCTTTCTGCAGAGAAAACAGTTTACTGTTTTCCAGACAAATAGTACTGAATAATGCTTTGCCCCTTTCCGCTCCAAACATATGTAAAATACAAATTTTTGCAGAAGTCTTGCAGAAATCCCAGTGCATCTTACCTCTTGATTGAAAATGGCCTCCATGGCGAAAATCTCCATCTTGGTCAGTAGATTGTAAACAAAAGGAAAGCAACAAAGAGAAACGGGACATGTTTCTGGATTCTGTAGAGGGGAAAAAATATGCTTACAACTTTTTAAACTAATAATTTAAATGGACTGCAAGCCAGTGTGATGCAGTGCCTTGAATGCTGGTCTAGGACTCTGGAAGACAATGGTTCGACTCCTTACCTATAAGGTACAGACTGACTCTTTAGTTCAGAAAATAAAAGTTTTCAAAGGTTTATAGCAGAGCTTTCCAAACTTTTCATGTTAGTGACACATGTTTTAGACATGCATCATTTCACAACACAGTAATTCAGTTTTATTAGCAAACCAGTGGTTAAACCAAGACTTTAGAAGAGATTCGGACACATATATAAATTGTAATAACAAAATGTATTGTTATTACACAACACATCTCATGAAAACCTTTCATTTATATTTTTTAAATGTATGATTTGTAAGAGAGTAACATACATTTCCAAGTGTTTTGTCATTTATGAGTAACAATATGTTGCCAATACTAATAATATTACTAATACTATTCAGCACTCTTGCTGCATTAAAATGCATGCAAGTTGGTATTGCCTTTTTCACATAGGTTTCTCATTATGCTTGAGTGACACACCTATTACACTGCAGCTGACACAGTAATGTGTTGCAGCATATAAGTTTGGAAAGCTCTGGTTTATAGCTCTGCTCAAAAAATAGAGTTGACCACAGCTGACACCCTATTTCATCAATTCTAAGACACATTTTCTCTCTACAAAAACATCTCTAAGACGGGGTCCTCAAACCTTTTAAACAGAGGACCAGGTCACAGTCCCTCAAACTGTTGGAGGACCAGATTATAATTTGAAAAAACATGAATGAATTGCTATGCACACTGCACATATCTTATTTGTAGTGCAAAAAATATGTAAAGGCAATATAATAATTAAAATGAAGAACAATTTTAACAAATATAAACTTATTGGTATTTCAATGGGAAGTGTGGGCATGCTTTCGGCTGATGAGATAGGGTTGTTGTTGTTGTTGTTGTTGTGTGCTTTCAAGTAATTTCAGACTTGGGTTGACCCTGAGCAAGGGCCGGGTAAATGACCTTGGAGGACCGCTTCTTAGGGCCCTTGATAACACCCAGGATATCAAGGCAGAAAATCCCACAATATCTGCTTTGAACTGGGCTATCGGAGTCCACACTGTCATATATTCCAGTTCAAAGCAGATAATGTGGGATTCTATTCAGCTGTGTGGAAGGGGCCTTAGACTCACTGATACTTTTCTTATATATAAAGCATTTCTTCTGTTGGTGGTACTGAAATTACAATCAATGGCATCTTAGAATCGAAAAAACATGATAGTTGTTGGGTTGTTGTAGTTTTTTTCGGACTATATGGCCATGGTCTAGAGGCATTCTCTCCTGACGTTTTGCTTGCATCTATGGCAAGCATCCTCAGAGGTAGTGAGGTGAGGATGCTTGCCATAGATGCAGGCGAAATGTCAGGAAATAATGCCTCTAGACCATGGCCATATAGCCCAAAAAACCCTTCAACAACCCAGTGATTCCAACCATGAAAGCCTTCGACAATACCATGATAGTTGTTGTAATTGTTACATAAAATTTGTGAATTAAAAAACCCTACTTCCCTATATAAGGAATCAATCAACCTTTAATTCTTAGCATTTTGTAGAATGGAGAAAAGAAGCTCCTGAAAAAAGTTTCTAAAGTGGTATTTTTTTCTAAAGTACAGCAATATGAACAGGAATGTATAACCTTGTGTATTTACACAAAAAGCTCTGTTGACGGATTATGACAAAGATCATTGAAGACAACTATGTTATGCATATTCGTTAAGAAATTAACATAAAATTAGTTGTGAATATTTGTATGCAATGAAGAAAGGAATGCTTTATCGGAGTCCTCTCACATTTCTTTGCTCATAAATCTCTATTCTAATGCAAAAATGTGCCATATGCCATCATCCATATCCCATCAATCCATTCCTAGTCAATCTTGCCAGTGGTGAAGGATGGTAGAAGTCACAGTCCAGCAACATCTGCAAGGCCACAAGTTGCCTAATTCTTATCCAGTCTTGCTTTCATCTACTCTCCAAACTGTCACAGAGATATCTTTTCAAGTATTGCTCCCAAAAGTTTTTTAACTGACTAAAGCAATGTGCTCTCCAAAACCAACAGCGTGTTTCTGAATGTTATTAATTTTATACAGACGACCAAAACTTTGCTACTCTCATTTAATTCTAAGCCTGGAGAATAAACAAAGCAGTAATACTTACTGGATGTATCTTCTGTACATGCCACCTTGCTAAGTCTCCGAAGGTATTAATTATTTGATTGATTTCATTGATGTAGAAGTTTCTTATCTGAAGCTTGTAGTCTGCCTTCTTGTTTACCTTGAAGAGCAACAAATATTCGTGTTTATAAACAGTGATGGCTTTCGTTTACCATGTACAAGATCCCCACATGCTTACCTTGTACAATTTTTTAAGTACTTTGAGAAGTGGAATAACTTCTTGGCATTGCGGGAAGAAATGGTAATAGGACAGCTGAGATTTCACAGCTTTGTTAAGCATCTGAACTATTTGGTCAAAACATGAGGTTGGCAGCAAAGACCAATAGTTTTCTGGGGGAAAAAACAATAAAAATATTTATTTTTTCCCTTCTTGAAAAAACAATATATAGAAAGACATTACTGTTGATATTTCTAGACATGTGGAACAAGAACTTAGGAGACATGTTAGTTTTTCTTAGTGCCTTTTTTGCTATCCTGATCCAAAGCCTTAGCCCAGTGCTTCTCAACTTGGGGGTTGGGACCCCTGGGGGGGGGGGGTCGCGAGGGGGTGTCAGAGGGATTGCCAGTGACCATAAAAAAAAACCAGTATTTTCTGTTGGCTATGAGGGTTCTGTGTGGGAAGTTTGGCCCAATTCTATCATTGGCGGGGTTCAGAATGCTTTTTGATTGTAGGTGAATTATAATTCCCAGTAACTACAACTCCCAACTGTCAAGGTCTATTTTCCCCAAACCCCACCAGTGTCCACACTTGGGTATATTGAGTATTCATGCCAAGTTTGGCCCTGATTCTTCATTGTTTGAGTCCATAGTGCTCTCTGGAGGTAGGTAAACTACAACTTCAGAACTCAAGGTCAATGCCTACCAAACCTTTCCAGTATTTTCTCTAGGTCTTGAGAGTTCTATGTGGCAGGATTGATTCGATTTGATCGTTGGTGGAGTTCAAAATGCTCTTTGAGTGTAGGTGAAAAATAAATCCCAGCAACTACAACTCCCAAATGACAAAATCAATCCCCCCCAACACTACCAATATTCAAATTTGGGCATATTGGGTCTTTGTGCCATATTTGGTCCAGTGAATGAAAACTCATCCTGTATATCAGATATTTACATTACGATGCATAACAGTAGGAAAATTACAGTTATGAAGTAGCAACAAAAATAATTTTATGATTGGGGGTCACCACAACATGAGGCACTGTATTAAGGGGCCACAGCATTCAGAAGGTTGAGAAACACTGCCTTAGCCTGATCCAAAAACTCTTTGGAAGCCTAGGACTACATTATCTTAATTAACACGAGTAAAGGCAAAGAAATTGGGATACGTTGTCTACTTTGCACTTTCTCCTTCTTTCCACACTTACCTAAAATTTCGGAAGAGCGCTTGCTTAAGCCTAGAACTGCTTTTGCAAAAGGAAGGGCCAAAGACTGCATTTTCTGGGCTTCAAGGGCTGCAGAACACTCAGGCAGCAGCAGGAAGATCGAAAGGGCTTCTTGGTGAGGAGAATTCAGCGGAAGGGATGGAATCAGGTAGTTCAACAGGCAGAAAGAGATCTATAGCCATTTTTTTTAAAAAAACAATACATTTAGATGAACACAGAACACAACACAAACACATATATACTTTTAAAAAAATATTTGACCTAAGCTTGGAATGACCACCTAGTGGCACAGTGAGTTAAACCACTGGCCTGCTGAACTTGCTGACCGAAAGGTTGGCAGTTTGAATCCGGGGAGCAGGGTGAGCTCCCGCTGTTAGGCCCAGCTTCTGCCAACCTAGCAGTTTGAAAACATGCAAATGTGAGTAGATCAATAGATATCACCTTGGCAAGAGGGTAATGGTGCTCCATGCAATCATGCTGGCCACATGACCTTGGAGATGTCTATGGACAATGCCAGCACTTCAGCTTAGAACTGAGGTGAAGTGCTGGCATTTCAACTGAGATGAGACACAATTAGACTTAATGTCAGGGGAAACCTTTACCTTTACCTTTAATTCTTAGGAAAGTATTTTTGGATTGTAATTCCCAGAATCTCCCACCCGGCATGATTATCATTCTGTTTCATTTTATGCATTGGTTCTAGACCAGTGTTTCCCAAACTGTAGTCTTCCAGGGTTTTCTATGTTAGCTCCCATATTTCCTGTTCAGTGGCCAAGGCAGCTGAGGCTTCCAGGAGTCCAAAGCATGTGGAGAACTAGAGTATGGGAAGCATTGTTCTCGGCTGTCAAAAATTTTGGCTCCATTTTTTAATGTCTACTTCATTAAATGAAATGTCAGCCACCTTGAGTCCTATGGAATGGGAAAAGCAAAATATTATAAATACTTCTGACATAAATAAAATTCCAAGACTTAGAAATTATGCTGGCCATATAATGTTTAAGAGCAGCAGTCCATACTTAAACTTTTTCAAAGTCTGTAGCCAAATCACAAAATGGAACAGAACCGCATCAGAAGATTTATCTTCTCTAGAAGTCAATCCTGTAACTATCTTGGCAAATCATTATGATTAAAAAATATTAATTTGTTAAAATACACAGGAATGTTGTGTAGTTTCTCGTCTCTATGGCTGTGATCTGGCAGCATTTTCTCCTGACATTTCACCTGCATCTTCTGAAGATGCCAGTCACAGACGCAGATGAAACATGCTGCTAGAACACAGCCATACAGACCAGAAACCACACAACACTCTAGTGATTCCAGTCATGAAAGCCTTTGACAATTTAAAAAGTACTTTTCTTCCTACAATTTTTAAAGTTATTTTGGGCTTGTGAAGCAGGTGTTATAGAACACACTTCCATGACCAAGAATAAGGCAGCAATACAAGGCCGTATGATATTCCCCTCTTCCTTATAGTACAACCCCAAACCTGCACCTAAAAGACTATCAACACAGTTACAGTTAGGACTGCAGTAATCACTTGTTAAGCCACAATTGTGTCACAGTTGGTCCTCCACATTTGCAGATTTTTTGTGGATTTGATGAAAACATTCTCTCCAGGGAGCTCTAGATCAGTGGTTCCCAACCTGTGGTCCATGGACCACCAGTAGTCTGCAAGAACTAAAATATGGTCTGCGGCCTCATCATTATTACACAGCTGCAATGAGAGCAACTGGTCTCGCAAAACCCTCTTATAGTGCTGAAACTTCTTAAATATGGTTTTCTGCGGGCAAGTAGATGGTGACCACTGGTTGGCATTAGCACTTTTTTGGTGCTAATGTTGGAGCGTGGTACCTGGTCAAATTGGTCCCTGGTCAAGTGGTCCCTGGTCAAAAAAAAAAAAGGCTGGGAACCACTGCTCTAGATCCTCCAGTGGCCAACTTCCACTGAAAGCTGATCATAAAGTCATTTATTTATTTATTTATTTACTACGCTTATATACCGCAATTCTCAGCCCACGGGCGACTCATTGCGGTGTACAACATAGAAAAACAGGTGCAAGATACAAGACATAGTATAAAAATCCACAATTCATCATTATCAAAACAACTCATCAAAACATCAATACTACTACAAAAGCCAATTCCGAGTCGTCTCATCGTCAAACCCACAATCTGATATCATTTCCGTTGTTCCAATCCTATGGTCAAATTGCCAGTCCTTGCACTTCTTATTCAAATGCCTTCTGAAACAGCCAGGTCTTTAGCTTCCTACGGAACATCAACAAGGAGGGAGCTAGCCTGATGTCCATGGGAAGGGTGTTCCACAGCCGAGGAGCCACCACCGAGAAGGCCCTATCTCTCGTCCCCGCCAGCCGTGCCTGTGACGCAGGCGGGATCGAGAGCAGGGCCTCCCCGGAAGATCTCAAAGTCCTCGTGGGCTCATAAGCCGAGAGGCGGTCAGTTAGGTATCTTGGGTCGGAACCATTTAGGGCTGATGATGGAGGACCTACAAATTCATAGAGAGAACACCCTCTAGGAAGTTCTAGGTCATGTAATGCAATTCTGTGGTCAACATCCAGTGAAAGTTGATGATAGTCATGATTGAGATCCTAAAGAAGAGATCTCTAAGGTTGAAATAAAGCAATTTTATTATTTGCAGTTCTTCATTTTCAAAGAGTCCTGCACTCTTAACTCCAGCAAATTTGGAAGGCTGAGCCTATAATGTAGTTAATCCTTTATTATTGGGGAGGGGGAAGGTAGCTGTGGAACTAGTTATCCATAAGTATTTATGACTTCTCATCTCTTCATCACACCAGCCACCAAACAGAAATGAATAAAGTTGTTAAGAGCAAAGAGAAATCATTCTTACTCTTCCAGCTATCCAGTCTCTAGTTGCAAGCTTCTCAAATACTTTTCTTGCTTTTTCCAAATCGATTGCTACACAACAGCCATTTTTAAAAGGAGATCTAGAAGGGGAAAAAGAATTACTTTCTTGAAGTTTTATGAGGGAAAGGAAATGTTTTCAATCTATCTAAGCTGTTGTAGGCATCGCATCCCGTCCCTTTTTCTGTATCATAAAAAGGACACTACTTACCCTTGCTTTAAAAAGCTTGCAGTTAAACAAGAAGAAGATGAAAATATTGTTTCTATTTCCCTATTTAAAAGAAAAAAAATATCCATCAGAACACACCACCATGCTTGTTATATGGACCTGGGAGATTTCATCCTCCTCTTTTTTTCTGTGCAAATTGTGTTTTTGTTATTTTTCATTACACCTACAATACTTGGTGGAACTAAAATGGGAGTAATTCCACAGACTTCTAGAATGTGGTACAACTGGCAGGGGGATCATGGAAGTTGAAGTCTGACACTCCTGGAAGTCATAATACTATGGAAGTATGCTTAGTAGCATATCCAAATGTTTACTTGAAAATCCTTGTGTATCCAGACTGGGATACTAATTATTTTAGAAATGCCAACACAATTTCACTTAGTTGCAAAAAACAATTTGTTTATCTACACTTGAGCAGAACTGGTAAATATTTGTCCACCTTACACAACACAGCTAGTTTCCAAGATTAGCATCACACCAGGATAAAACCAGCTCGTGGTTAAACTATCTGTTGGGCTTTGATTCCAGGACCCTCTATGGATAAACATGTCCTTGGGTGCTAAAATAACATAATATACAATGGGGTGGTGAAATGGAGTCCTTATACAAAATGGCACAATAAAGGTTTCCTTTGGGGATTTCTTCCAAATATATTTAAGCTGTGGATGGTTGAACTTGTGGACATGTGGAAATAGATGGCCAGCTGAATTCAGTTTAACGTTGTTTTTTATTTAAAGGTTTGTGGCTCACAAATTATATTGGGTAACAAAAAAAAATACCCTCAAAGCTTTAGAAAGAGCAGCATAGTTTTTACTTTTAATACATGAGATCATACAGAAAAAAAAGTAATTATGGGTTTCTGTTAGTTTGCTGGGCTGTATGACCATGTTCCAGAAGTATTCTCTCCTGATGTTTTGCACACATTTATGGCAGGCATCCTCAGAGGTTGTAAACTACTAACAACTTATGTGGATTCCTGTGGATATGGGCAAAACGTCAGGAGATAATGCTCTTGGAACATGGCCGTACAGCCCTGAAAACTTGCAGCAACCCAGTGATTCGAGGCATGAAAGCCTTCGACAACACAAAATAATTATGGTTTTATAGGTCTGCTAGGAACTTTGGTTAGGAATTTTGGACTGGAGCTCCCACAATCCTTCATTACTTGCTACTGGGGTTGCTAGAAATTGGCACTGAAATATTTGAAAAGCCAAAGTTCGCTATCATGCCTCTTTCTTAAACTCTGTGAAGACAAAGAGTATGAACACCAGCCTTTTTGCATTCTGCCGCTTTTCACTTTCTGCAGTTGCTGACAACCACATGTCCATCTGCATTTCCTCCAGCCGGTTAATCCGTGGCAAGGGTTCCATAGAGAGAGTTTCACTCCCATATGAAGAAACCTTTGAAAAGAAAAAGGCACACAAAGAGCTTTCACCTTATTGTTTTTAACAGGAATCATCCATATCTCGAGATATCATCAGATTGAACTCACAGATTCTTAATTTATAGCATGAGATGGGCCAGGCAATTCCAAATAATCTGAGTACCAATATTCTGCCCCAGGACCATCTGCAGGCTGAACAAACTGCCCCATCCTAATGAATATGACTGCAAATTCATTTCTGTAATTTGAAAAAATGCTATTTTCTTACACAGTTCAATAGGGGGTTCTGCAAAGGATTTAAAAAGCGAATAGCTGCTCCTAAGATCTTCAAGAGATCATACTGTGCAATGAATAGCACTACGATTCCATTTCAACTGCCTTTTCAACTGCTAGTTTCTATTATTCTATCTTATGATTATATTAGCATGGATGGATACAAACTTAGATGCAAAATATATGATCCGAGCAACAACTGTAGCCATCTTGCAAAGTGGAATCATTGTCTCCATGTCACACAGTGGAGAAGTGAAGAGGGGGCTATCGGGTGTGGACAAATCATTACAGAAAAGCTTGGGAAAGTTACCTTTTATACTAAAAAGCCTCAAATCTCCAATTAGCACAGCCCCATGAAATTACAGTCCAAAGCCTAAATCCAACTGGTAGCCCAACTACAGTATATCTACTGAATAAAAAAAACCTACACAAGTTTCCATTAATTTAAAGTGTCTGTTCCAGGTTGGATGGATTTTGGCATTTTTTTTTTGTCCCCCAAAAGCACATTTTCCCACCTCTCCTGTTGTGTCAGTTCATTTCCAGGGTACAATCTGAATGGTGGATTTTTTTATGACAATTCCTACTCTTAAACTGTAATAATTATCCTGCAGTAGGCCATCACTATAACAAATACTATGTGCTACATAAACATATTTTGAAGGCAATATAAATAAACAGCCTACCTGTGTGCGAAACACTGTGGCAAAGTTGACATATGTTCCAGCAAAAATCTGTTTCACTTGGATGCCCTGCAATTCTGTAATGATAGGAAAGCAGGTCATTCCTAAGTTATGGGTCCGCATTAACTTCTTTCCTGGAAATATCTGTGCAGCCATAAAGGGATAGTTTTGAGATAAAACAGCCCATGTATTGTTTCCCCCCTCTCTTGCATTCAACCCTTTCATTTTGTTTCATTCACAAAATTATTTAAAATGTTGTGTATAAACCCACCTTCAGGCCATCTGTATAAAATGTATATGAAACACAAATGAGTTTCATGTACAGTCTTAGGTCCCATCTCCAATATATATCATTCTGTATATCTAAGAATGCCATAATCCAAAAATAAAAATAAATTATGGGACCTATCTGGTCCCAGGCATTTCAGGTAGGGTTAATCAACCTGTACAACCATGGCCAGGAAAGTCTTATTGCACTTTCTGTGTGGTTGCTGAAATCTTGAGGCATGACCCAAATATTCAAACATTTCTTCCTGGCCCTTATGCATTCTGTACTTGCACTTTTAAAACAGGTACCATTTGGAGAAACAAGAGCACTAATGTTCAGACATCCTCCCTCATCCAGCTTGCTCTGCATTGTTCCACTTCCATTTCGCTGCAAAGGTCCACGGCCAAAAGATAAAAGCTGACCAGAAGTAGAGATGCGCACAAGAGTGTGATAACTGTTGTAAGAAGGAGAAAGGGATATTGTAACTTGGTTAGCCGAAGCCTTTACTCAATCCATGAAGCTTTAACGGCTCTGGTACATACCTTCCACATGCTAAAAGTGATACTGGACCATCAATCCACTCAACTTTCTGAGGACCAAACTTTGGACTTGAAGAACTACTGCGGCCCAGTTGTCCAGCACTGTCATCTCCAAATGTGAACACACTGCCATTCTATTCAGGGTTTTTGAAAACCAAATTTGTGTTACTGTCACGGCTAGTGTTGACAAATTCTACTCAATTTTTGCAGTTTTAAAATGTTTTTTAATTCAACCTTTGTTTTTCCTTACAATATCACCATGGTGTTCACCAAGCAACAAACAGAATTATGTTCATGTGCAGACATGCCAAGATCCACCTACAACAGTGGGTCCCAACCTGTGGTCTCTGGACCAGCAGTGGTCTGCAAGAATGAAAATATGGTCCACGGCCTCATCATTACTACACCGTTGCCTCAACACCATGCAGCAATGAGAATGACTGGTCATGTGAAACCCTCTTATAGTGGGATCTTGGGAGGAGAGAGGCTGACTACCCACGAAAGATTGCTTCTACCACATCAGCTCTAGATTATTAAATATGGTTTTCTGTGGGCAAGCAAATGGCGGCTACTGGATGACACATGTTCTGTATCAGAAACTAGAGCTGATGTAGTCTATCCAATGCAATTTTCTGAATCAGCACACCAGATAACCAAACTGAATCCAAAGTTGACCAAAAACGCATTGGTAACCCTTTTGCTACTAACTAATGTTGGAGAGTGGTCCTTGGTCAAAATGGTCCCTGTTCAAGTGCTCCCTAGACGAAAAAAAGGTTGGGAACCACTGACCTACACAAATGGTCTCAACCTTCATCTTTGGATGAAGCTCACTAAGTGGTTTTATTGCTACTATCTCAAAAAAACAAGTCTAAATGGGCAAGAAAACCTGGAGTCATCCTGCATTGACTTCTACTTGTACCCATAACATTTGGTTTTACAGAGACACACCTGTTTTGAGCCGCTTTGGGCAATATCACTTTGGACAATATCCTGTATGTAGCATGGAGGGTAAGATCATGGTCCAGTGCAGCATATAGATATATCAAATATGTATAAGAGCCAAAAATGCATAAAATATGCATAAAAGCAAAGATAAGAAATCAGCATTTGCAAGGCTTGGTAAATAGACCATGTTTCCTTTTCACAAAGTACAGCTGAAGCATTTTCTGCAGAGTCCACTGTAAACACTGCATGTTCTTACTAACAGATTCATGTAAATGTCTAAAACAGTCGCTATGTGAGGTTCAGACAACTTTTACTGTTGCCAATGACCCCATCATTGAGCTAAGAGGACCCCATTTGGGGTTGGGACGCAGTTTAAGAATTGTGATTTAGCCAGTACCTGGGTGAGCACAGCAGTGTGTTCAGCCCCACAGCTCACAAAAGCAACATCAAGGCTCCTCAAAGCAGCTATTGAGTATGGTTTGAAGATTTGTTCTGTGGGGAAAAAAACACAACAGAATAATACCATATATTCATGTATAAGTTAATCCCATGTCGAAGTCAAGGACAAGGTTTAGGGCCAACATTATGGATTTTCATATTACCTATGGATAAGCTGACCATCATGATACAGACAGGAAGAAGTGCCATCTCTGTCATTTTCCACCCAGGCTATCAAAAAGGTCATTTACCACTCTATTCAGAGAAGAGGATGAGTCTTTTTTAAATAAAAGGAACTATCCCCTTGTCTGAGTTGAATGGCAAAAAAAAAAGTGAGAGCTTGGTCTGTCATAGGACAACCTAAAAGAAATGTTAACTCTCTATACTTTCTATGGTGATATCTTTTTGAATACCTGGAGGAAAAATGCTAATATCTCTTTGGCACTTCCCTCAAAGGTGTGCTGAGCGGCTAAGGCAGGCATGGGCAAACTTGGGCCCTCCGGGTGTTTTGGACTTCAACTCCCACAACTCCTATCAGCTGCAAGGACTTGTGGGAGTTGAAGTCCAAAACACCCGGAGGGCTCAAGTTTCTCTATACCTGTTACCTTCTACTAGGACAGACTACACTCTTGCCTTTTGCCACTTTGCTCAGAGAAGGAGGATTGTTCCTTTTTCTGATAAGAATTAAGGTACACAATGTACGCTGTCCTGTGGATAAGCTGACACAGGTTTATGGGTTGATTTTTTTGACTAAAATTTCTAGACTTATACATATGCAGTAAATAAAAACATTAAAAACTTGTTTTAAAATTTAGGCAGGCTTTGAAAGAAAATGGTTTTTAAGACCAAGTTGGGGTGCTGTGGTATTTGGTTTTGAATACATTTTATGGGTTTTAACTGTTTATTTTGTAATATAATTGATGCTTAATTTTGTTTTAATGTTTGTATATTTTAAATTGTAGTGAAATGCTTTCAATGTAAGCCATTTTGAGTCTCCTTGTGGAATCATAGAATCATAGAGTTGGAAGAGACCTTGCATGAAACTGCCAGTAAAAATAAACCCATTTTTAAAAAAAAAAAAAAAAACCAGATGTAGCTGGCCCTCCAAATTCTCATATTTCACAGATTCAACCACACACCACTTAAAATTATATAATAATAATAATAATACACTTTATTTATATTCCGCCTTTCTCCCGTAGGGGACTCAAAGTGGATTACAGCATTTATACAGACAAATATTCAGTGCCTTTACAATCACATACAATGAGACACACAAACAAAGGCAGAGGCTTCCCCTTTCATTTCCAGCTTCTGGAGGCGGTGCTCATCTCTGGATCTGAAGAGGTGCTTTTCTCAATTTTCAAGCCAAGGAGCCTGCGTTGTCACCTCCTGGTTATATGGCCGGCAAGATTGCTTGGAGCATCTCTTTGCTTTTTCCCGTGAAAGTGGTACCTATTTATCTACTCACATTTGCATGTTTTCAAACTGCTAGGTTGGCAGGAACTGGAGCTGACAAGCGGGAGCTCACCTCATCTCGCAAATTCGAACTGTCAGCAATTCAGCCAACCTTCAGGTCAGAAGTTCAGCAGCACAAGGTTTTAACCCATTGTGCCACTGTTGTTCCTATATATTTTTTAAATTCCAAAAACTTGATTTTGCCTTTTTATATAAAAGACACCATTTTATATAATGCAACTTAAGCATCCCCTGAATTAACATCCATAATGAATCCTGGAGCAAAGTCCAAGCAGATACCAAGGGTCCCCTCTATAGCCATTTAATAACAAAGGAGACATGTGGAACAGTACATGAAGAAAAGCAGTTTCCTGAAAGAACAGTCAATTGCTCGTGGTATTGCTTGACTATTCCAAAACCAAGGCTTTTAGGTCAAATGTGAGGGGGAAAAGGACCTCAACTGGGCTTCTAGAATGTGAAGGCTTACCTTTGGGCTTAGCTTGGCTCAGTCCCAGCTGACGTGCATTGTTCCTTCCCCATCCATACACAACACCAGAAAGGGACAGGGCAAAGCTATGCGCTCCACCCGCTGCCACCTGGGCTAATGGGATGCCATCCAGAGCAGAGACTTGCTGCGGAAAAGCCTGGGAGGAGATGTCTCTGCCAAGCCCCAGCTGCCCATGGATGTTCTGACCCCATGAAAAAACTCTGCCGTCTATATTTAAAAAGAAAAATGTTTCAAATGAATTTAATCATATTTGTACAACATCTTCATAAACTATATATAGTATATCTTCAAAAACCATACATAGTATAGACCTCACAACCTCTGAGGATGCTTGCCATAGATGCAGGCGAAATGTCAGGAGGGAATGCCTCTAGAACATGGCCATACAGCCCGAAAAACCTACAACTCAGTGATTCCAGCCATGAAAGCCTTCGACAATACATATATAGTATATTTAATCTAGGTAGGACCATAACAGACATCGAGCCCATTCCCAGGCCCTGCAGAAATACAGAGCTGCAGAATGCCTGAAAGACTCCCATCTGACCTCTGTTGAAAGAGCCATAAAGACAAGTTCTTAAGTCAGCATTCCTCAACTTAATGCTCACCAGATGCATCAGAATACTATCTTATCATTCAGACAATACCACCACTAGCTTGCTCTCTAAACGTAATGGGAAATACAGTCCACTGTAAAGAAAGTAGTTTGCACTAGGCTTGTGCATTTAGGGTGAATCGCTATTTGTTTCTCCTTGCCGGATACGGGAAGCCCCCCATATCAGTTTTCCAGTGTCTCCTGAAAATGGTCATGCTGACAAATGGGCTTTTTTGTTCCGCATCAACCCCCCCCCCCAAACAATTCTTTTCGGCCCATTGGCAGCAATGGGTAACTTACAAGGCTCCCCTTTGCCCTAGGATCTTTTTCTTTCTTCCCTTCAGGGGAGCCTGGGTGTCAGCAACAGGGTTAAAAAAGCACCCTATCTAGCCCATTATTGGTGGGGGGGGGGGGGCGACTTCCCACAGGTTCCCCATTAAGGCCCGGATTAAAAATGCATCAATTACCACTCTGGATCCTTTTCTTTCCATTTGTAGAGGAGGAGATGGGTTTAATGCTTCTTAAAGCTGTTCTACCTTAGAAGAGAGGCAGACGCGCACCTTTCTCTCCCAAGGCCAGCACCAGCAGCATGCCACACAGCTTTCCAACTTAGACGCTTTAAGGAGGTCCAGGAAGGAAGAGTGATGACCTGGAGCTCAGTGAAGCTTTGAGCTATCCTCCCTCAACTACCTTAAAAATCCCCACTCTTACCTGCAAGACTGAAATCACCTTTCTGTTTGGGGTTTTGCTTCCTTAAAGCTGTTTCTACTTTCTAGGCTAGAGGAGAGGTAGGCTTCTCTTTTTGTTTGCTGGAATTACTATTACTGTTAATAATTATTATGTATTGTCGAAGGCTTTCATGGCCGGAATCACTGGGTTGTTGTAGGTTTTTCCGGGCCATATGGCCATGTTCTGGAGGCAATTTTTCTCCTGACGTTTTGCCTGCATCTATGGCAAGCATCCTCAGAGGTAGTGAGGATGCTTACCATTGATGCAGGCGAAACATCAGGAGAAAAATTGCCTCCAGAACATGGCCATATAGCCCGGAAAAACCTACAACAACCCAATAATTATTATCTTTTAGAAGTATTTTCTGAAGGAAGGGAAGGAGAAAAAGAAGTTAAAAGGGTGAAAGACCCCAAATGCACACACATCCCACTCACCATCCCTCATGTCCCCAACTCCTAGTCAGTCCCACTAAATAAAAAGAATCAGGAAAATAAAGGAAAAACAAAAAGATTCAATTGTGATGCTGAATAGGGGAGGAGGAGCTGAGATCGGCTCCCGCTTGTTTTTGTGTCAAGTAGTTTTTGTTTTTTTTCCCCAGGAGGGCCCTTACTGTTATGAGCTCCCAGAGGTACCGAAGGTACCAAAGGAAACCGAATTAACTAGTTTGCACTGTTAATTCTCTTCCGAATACTTTGTGCAGCAACAAAATTAAGTATGGCAATGACAGCAAAGAAATCTTTAAAAGTGGAACATACAATATCTTCTATAGTGATGCAAATACTATTAGCAAAAACAAAACAAATAAACAAATACAAAAACCAATTCTTACCATTTGTCAGCGCTATTGAGTGGTCATGTCCGCAAGCAACCTGGATTACCTTGTATTTGGACAAAGCATTTATTGCCCTGTAAAAATATATGAAAGAATAAAACTGTTAGGATTTTTTAATGGAGGAGAAAAAACCCACTAGCCCTCAAAATAAAGAATTATTGATATTTTACAAAAACAACTTTGCCAAAATATGAAATCTGTATATATCCCAAGTTTTGGACTTAACATTTGATCAAGACCTGTCATTAATACACAGGTGTTTTTAGCACAGCATCTTATATTAAATATCAAAATAATATTTCATACAAGATTTAATTTATTAGCCACTTACTTTGGAAGTAAACGGTCTCCCAATTCAGCAGTGCCCAGCTGTCCAAAAGTGCCAGCTCCCCATGAATAGACCCTTCCTTTGTTGCAAACGGCCAATGAGTGCTCCTTTCCACAGCTTACATGGACAATTTTTTGTGTTTCAAATGCTTGGATTAGCTCTTATAAGAAGGAAGTAAAGAAAGATACAAGATATTAATTCATAAACCATGATCATAGAAAGACTTGCATAAGTTATACAACAACGGTACTGCAGTGCAAAAATAATCAGAATTTGGTTGCCCCTTGAAAAGATGTTTTTACACTCTATGCTTCTGGAGGTGGAAATCCACTGAATGAATGGTTATGTGAATTTCCATAACCTTTCGGAAAACCACTTGTCACAGGAAAGTCGTGGCCTTGTTAGAGATCATAACCTTTTTGGAAATTACCATTACCATTTGGGAAAACCAGGAATCTTCCTGAGAAAAATTAAAAACCTGCTTGAGTCAACCTTCTCCTTAGTGGTAAAATATCCACTAGTATTCATGCAAGGTAATTAGGTTTCTCAGTTGTTAAACTGAAAGCCTAGATATCTCTTTGAACTGTTAGGGACAAAGATATGCCAATGCAGATAGATAGATAGATAGATAGATAGATAGATAGATAGATAGATAGATGAGTTTCAATTGTGTTATTTCAGTTGCCCAAAAACATATACTCTCCCTTAAAACATCTTGGTTTAAATCAGTGGTTCTTAACCTGTGGTACGTGGACCACCAGTGGTTCACAAGAATGAAAACATGGTCCACGGCCTTACCATTGCTACACCATTGCCTTGAAACCACGCAGCAACAAAAGAGACTGGTCTCTCGAAACCCTCTTATAGTGCTGAGGCAACAGGGATGTTGGGAGGGGAGTTGCTGACTACCTACAAAAGATTACTACTATCACATCAGCTCTAGATTATTAAATATGGTTTTCTGTGGGAGAGCAGATGGTGACTACTAAATGGCATATGCTCTGTATCAGAAACTAGAGCTGATGTGGTCTATCCAATGCAATTTTCTGAATCAGCACTTTCTGTTGGTCATGGGAGTTCTATGTGCCAAGTGTGGTCCAATTCCATCATTGGTTGAGTTCAGAGTGCTCTTTGATTGTAAGTGAACTATACATCCCAGCAACTACAACTCCCAAATGTCAGGGTGTATTTTTCCCAAACTCCACCAGTGTTCAAATTTGGGCATATTGTGTACTTGTGTCACGTTTGGTCCATATCCATCATTATTTGAGTCCATAGTGCTCTCTGGATGTAGGTGAACTACAACTCCAAAACACAAGCTCAATGCCCAACAAACCCTTCCAGTGTTTTCTGTTGGTCATGGGAGTTCTGTGTGCCAAACATCGTTGGTGTTTAGAATGCTCTTTGATTGTAAGTCAACTATACATCCCAGCAACTACAAGTCCCAAATGATAACCCCCCCCCCCCAACCCTACCAGTATTCAAATTTGGGCTTATCAGGTATTTGTTCCAAATTTGGTCCAGTGAATGAAAATACATCCTGCATATCAGATATTTACATTACGATTCGTAACAGTAGCAAAATTACAGTTATGAAGTAGCAACAAAAATAATTTTATGGTTGGGGGCAGGGGCGGCTCAAACCATTATGCAAAGTAAGCATTTGCAGTATAGTTGATTTTGCCCAGGGGCGCTCTTGAGGGAAAATAGACTTTGACATACGTGAGTTGTAGTTAGTAGGATGTATAGTTCACCTACAATCAAAGAGCATTCTGAACTCCACCGATGGAATTGAACCAAATATGGCACACAGAACTCCCACGACGAACAGAAAATATGTATCACTGATTGGTTGGGGGGGGGGGGCCGCCAAAATACTGTTTGCTTACCGTTGAAAATTACCTAGGGCTGCCTCTGGTTGGGGGTCACCAAGACATGAAGAACTGTATTAAGGGGTCATGGCGTTAAGAAGGTTGAGAACCACTGCCCTAAGTATTTTAAAACACCCGGATCTGGTATGATTTTGGAAGCTAAGCAGGTTCAGTACTGGTTAGTAGTCAGATGGGAGATTGCCAATGGATACCAGGTCCTGTGGGCTGTATTTCAGAGGAAGAACTAGCAAAACCACCTCTTTTCCTTGCCTATGAAGACTCCATTAAATTCTTGGGGTGGCCCTAATTGGGCAGGTGACTTGAAGACACGTATGTGCCCACGCTTCTGCTGGGTACAGTGCCCTCCTGTCAAAGATGTTAGCAGAAGCTGGACAGTCTTGAAGAGCCAGTTGCCTTTGCTGATTCAGTCCAGGTTCAGTCTTGGACTCCTTCCAAAGTCTGAACAGGTTCCAAGAACAGAAGAAAAGGATCCACTACTCAAAGAAAGGGAGGAGGAGGGTTCAGCTATCAGCACAAACACAGCCTGAGAAGGGAAGGAAAGGAAACTGAAACTGTTTCAGGAGTGACTCATCTCTGAGAACAAGGAATCCGGACTGATCAACTGTAAGCAGAAAACGAAACTCAGAAAAGGCTTTCTAGAGTTCATGCAGGCAGAAAAAGGCTGGATGACAACCTTCCTTTTAGAAACAGTGGAGACTTGCAGCATGATGCTGTGCTTTTTTGTATTTCTATTCCATCTGCTTCTCTTTCACACACAAGTTACATTTCATGCCTCTGCATTGGGGAGGTGGTTGTAATCCATTTAAACATATGCCTCATACAATTTATTTTCATTGTTTAGGCCAGGCATGGGCAAATTTTGGCCCTCCAGGTGTTTTGGACTTCAACTCCCACCATTCCCAACAGCCTCAGCCCTTTCTTTTTGCCCCTCAGCTGCTTAAGCGGCTGAGGGGCAAAAGGAAAGGGCCTGAGGCTGTTGGTAATGGTGGGAGTTGAAGTCCAAAACACCTGGAGGGCCAAAATTTGCTCAGGTTTGATTTAAGCTATTTCAGCTCCCAGTTTTGAGAGGAAAGGCCATGGCGGAGGGAGTTGGGATTCTGGGAACTGCAGTTCTCCCAAAGGAACTACTCCAAGATCTAAGGATGGCAATGCAGCCTGTCTGTTTTCTTTTGGGGTGAATCTTGTAGTGCACCTCGAGATACACAATGTTTACCACTTGTAACAGTTTCTAATTCTGAATCTTTGCCACTTTTTATATTTTGGAAAAAGATCGAAACCTTCTCAAAGTGGCGAAGTGTGTTGAAATGCCATTAAGAACTTTGCCAGAGAGGTCTGCTAAGTCAGGGATGAACATCTGTCAGAAAATTGTAGTTTCAGGCGGCACTTGTAATTCTGATTAAATCACTATTATACTGGGCCAAAACTAATAAAATGAAGTTCAACAGGGACAAATGCAAGATACTCCACTCAGGCAGAGAAAAGGAAATTCAAAGATACAGAATTTCTTTGGCTCCACAGCAGTACATGTGAAAAAGATCGTGGAGGTGTCGTGGACAACAAGTCCAACATGAGCCAACAACGTCATGCGGCGGCAAAAAAAACCCAATGAGATTTTGGCCTGCGTAAATCGAAGAGTCTAGTGTCTACATCAGGGGTCCTCAAACTAAGGCCCAGGGGCCGGATACGGCCCTCCAAGGTCATTTACCCGGCCCTTGCTCAGGGTCATCCTAAGTTTGAAATGACTTGAAAGCACATAACAACAACAATCCTATCTCATCAGCCAAAAGCAGGTCGACACTTCCCATTGAAATACCAATAAGTTTATATTTGTTAAAATTGTTCTTCATTTTAATTATCGTATTGTTTTTAAGTGTTTTTTTTTACAATTAATAAGATATGTGCAGTGTGCATAGGAATTCATTCATGTTTTTTTCCAAATTATAATCTGGGCCTCCAATAGTTTGAGGGACTGTGACCTGGCCCTCTGTTTAAAAAGTTTGAGGACCCCTGGTCTAGATCCAGGGAAGTCATGCTATCCCACTATTCTGCCTTGGCCAGACCACACCTGGAATACTGCATCCAATTTTGGGCACCGCAATTGAAGGGAGATGTTGACAAGCTGGAATGTATCCAAAGGAGGGTGACTAAAATGATCAAAGGTATGGAGAACAACCCCTATGAGGAGCAGCTGAAAGAGCTGGGCATGTTTAGCCCGACAAAGGTAAGGCTGAGAGGAGACATGATGAAGGCTGTGTATCAAGATATGAGGGGAAGGCATTGGGAGTTGCTTGTTTTCTGCTGCCCTGGAGACTAGATTTTAAGTGGATTTTTTTCTCTAGTGTGATGAGGCTATTATAGAGGGAACAAATCCACTTAAAATCCGATTTCTGCCTCCTGCAGAATTCTGGGGTTTGTAGTTTAGGAAGGAGCTTTTAACAGCCTCACTAAACTACAAACTCCAGAATTCGGCAGGAGGCAGAAACCGGATTTAAAGTGGATTCATTCTCTAGATGTGGAGAGGTAGCTTCAGGTGGAACAATGGCATCAAATTACAGGAAAGAAGAGAGATCCCACCAGAACATGAAGAAGAACATCCTGACTGTGAGAGCTGTTCAGCAGTGGAACTCTCTGCCCAGCAGTGTGGTGGAGGCTCCTTCTTTGGAGGCTTTGAAACAGAGGCTGGATGGCCATCTGTTGTGGATGCTTTAAATGCAATTTTCCTGCTTCTTGGCAGAATGGGGTTGGACTGGATGTCCCATGAGGTCTCTATTTCCTTAACCTTCAGATAATCCCCATGGCTAGTATGCGCATACATATTTTGGAAGCACTCTGTACATGCAGAGGGAGAGAATGCCTTGAGCCTTTTGCCTGGAAGTAATGCTTTCCCGGGGATTGGCTCCGTTAATCAATCTCATGGAGTTTAACATGTATTTTTCAACATCAGTGCATTGATCTAGCCTTCAAATAACCCCCATGGCTCCTAAGTGGCTATTAAAGGGTGTATACATTTTTGGGACACTCAGAATGCTTGGAATCTGGAAGTTTGAGGGAGAGGAAAGGGACTGGAGCCCCTTCCCTGGACCCAAAGCCTCTCCCCGATTCTGGGCCACTTACCTGGGACGTGGGAGCGCTTCTCCTGCCCCGAAGGGAGCCTCCTGCCCAGCTGTCCCCGGCTGTTGTCTCCGCAAGAGGCTACCCCGCCATCGTCGCGCAACAGCAGCGTGTGCCGCTCCCCGCAAGCCACCAGCACCACCGCTTGGTCCTCGGGAGCTCGGGGTCCTGGGCGGAAAGGCACCGGCTCAGAGAGCCCTTCCTCTGTCCCCAGCCCCAGCTGCCCAGCAGAGCCCTGGCCCCAGCAGTACAGCATCCTCTCGCCCCGCAAATGCGCCTCTCCCTTTTGGCCCAGGGTTTAATCCGCCTTGCCCCTCCTTTGCAGGACCTTTCCTCCTCCCTCCCTCCCTCCCTCCCTCCCTCCCTCCCAAGGAAGCACCCCTTGGCCTCCCTCTTCGGCCTTCATATACAAGCCCAGAGGGAGCACAGCCCATCCCAGCAGCCCTGCCCACACCAGAAACTGCCAATTTCATAGAATCATAACACAGTCCTGAGCCCTGACACATGCACAATAGAGGACCTAATTTTGGAAACACCAGAGGCATTTCAACTGGCCAGTTACAAAACCATTTAATATAATCGCCAAGTTTCTAAACTTTGTGCTTTTTAAAATAAATTACTAGCGTATCTGTCTGAACGGATCTCCCTCTACGTCCCGCCTCGGAGTTTAAGATCTTCTGGGAGGCCCTGCTCTCGACCCCGCCTCTATCACAAGCGAGATTGGCAGGGATGAGGATCAGGGCCTTCTCGGAGGTGGCCCCTCACCTGTGGAATTCTCTCCCCGGGGAAATTAGATCAGCGACATCCCTCCTTTCCTTTAGAAGGAAATTAAAAACATGGATTTGGGACAAGGCGTTTGGGCAATCTGTCAGATGAATAAAGGACTACGATGACCGATAAGAATAGATAATGTAGAACGAAATATGGACTCTGAGTTGGTGAACGCTGAGCTTGAGATTGGTTTATTCACTATGATATATATATTGATTGTTTTAACTGTCTTAATTGTTTTAATTGCTGTTTTACATGTTTATTTGTATTATTGTGTAGGCATCGAATTGTGCCTTTTTGTAAGCCACCCTGAGTCCCCCCTCGGGTGTTGAGAAGGGCGGGGTAGAAGTACACGAAATAAATAAATAAATAAATAAATAAAATAATGGTGGACAGGAAAAGAGATTTAAAGATGGGCTTAAGGCCAACCTCAAAAAGTGTGACATAGACACCGAGAACTGGGAAGCCCTGGCCCTTGAGCGATTTAACTGGAGGCCAGCTGTGACCAGCACTGCTGCAGAATTCAAAGAGGCACAAATGGAGGGCGAAAGGGAGAAATGTGACAAGAGGAAGACGCATCAAACCAACCCTGTCCAGTACCATTGTCCATCTGGAAACCGATGTCCTCACTGTGGGAGAATATGAAGATTAAGAATAGGGCTCCACATCCACCCGACGGACCCACCACCAAGACACTACACTTGGACACTTGGAGGACCATCATACTTGGAATATGAGGGATCGCCTAAGTAACTTTCCCTGCAGATATGAACTCGTTTATGTTAGGTGAATCCTTATCACATAACATAAATGAGTTCATATATGCAGGAAAAGGCACATATTTTCTAAGCAGTAACTTAATAGGACCCGAGTACGGCTGTTGATGACAAGTTGATTTGGAGGTCTCGTTGCCATAAATCCCACGACCAGCATTAAAGCAATGCTGTTACACCATCAACTCTAATGGACTGGCCATGTTGTCCGAATGCCCGATCACCGTCTTCCAAAGCAGTTATTATATTCCCAACTCAAGAATGGGAAATGTAACATTGGTGGACAGGAAAAGAAATTTAAAGATGGGTTTAAAGCGAATCTTAAAAACTGCGGCATGGACACCAAAAACTGGGAATCCCTGGCCCTTGAGCACTCTAACTGGAGGTCAGCTGTGACCAGCAGTGCTGCAGAATTTGAAGAGGCACAAATGGAGGGCAAAAGGGAGAAACGTGCCAAGAGGAAGGCACGTCAAGCCAACCCTGAATGGGATCGCCTTCTGTATGGAAATTGATGTCCTCGCTGCAGGAGAACATGAGGATCAAGAATAGGGCTCCACAGTCACCTATGGACCCACCGCCAAGACACCACATCTGGAAGACAATCATCCTCGAGCTATGAAGGATCGCCTGAGTAAGTAAGTAAGTTAAGTATAACTGTACCCTTGGTTCGCTCCTGATACAATAAAAAATAATAATAATAACAGAGTTGGAAGAGGCCTCAATAGCCATCCAGTTCAACCCCCTTCTGCCATGTAAGCACACCCAATAATAATAATATACTTTAATGATCCCTCACAAACTCTGAGGGTGCCTGCCATAGATGTGGGCAAAACGTCAGGAGAGAATGCTTCTGGAACATAGCTATACAGCCCAGACAACTCACAGCAACCCAGTGATTCCTGCCATGAAAGCCTTCGACAACACAATAATGCACTTTATTTATATTCCACTATCTCCCCTAGGGCACTCAGAGTGGAATACAGTATTTACATACATAGGCAATGCCTTTACAATCTATATAAATAACAATGTAATGATCATTATTGGGATGAACATAATGCAAAAACCACTGGACAAATTGACACCAAATTTGGACACAATACACCAATGAGTGATAGGTTTTTTCACTCATAAAAACACTGAAAAACACAGCGGAAGGGACTTAAAAAGCCAAAAAAGCAAAAGGACACTACAGCGCATGTGCAAAAAACATCTTCCCCGGCAAACAAAACACACAATAGCATATTCACATACTCTTCTGGACTACAGCTCCCAGCATCCACTAGACCATCCACTAGACCAGGCCCTTTAGGAGCGGAGAATGATCCAAATGCACTGCTTCCAAGCTGCAGGCTTTCTTCTCCTTGGATTTCTTTGAGAGCATCCCAATCCATATTTCCAATTTCCTATTCCTGGACTGCAACTCCCAGCAATCCTCCAGATAGATAGATTAGATAGAACTGGGTTATCTGAGTCCACACTGCCATATATCCCAGTTCAAAGCAGATAATGTGGGATTTTATTCAGCTTTGTGGAAGGTACCATTTTGTAAGGCCAGTTATATGTAGGTAAGCCTACATGGGAGGCAAATATATGACTAAACCTAGGTGCTAATTTAGAGAAGAGAATGATGCTGGGGAAAATGGAAGGAAAAACGAAGAGAGGCCGACCAAGGGCAAGATGGATGGATGGCATCCTTGAAGCTTGACCTTGAAGGAGCTGGGGGTGGTGTCGGCCGATAGGGAGCTCTGGCGTGGGCTGGTCCATGAGGTCACGAAGAGTCGGAAATGACTGAACGAATGAACAACAACAAAAAGGTGCTAATTTACCTTTTGAGCCCTCTACTTCCAGAGCTGTCATTATTACCGAATTAAAATGATGCTTTCAATCACATGGTTTTGTCTACATGCACTATAAGCACATGCTGTTGTATTTATTGCTGTTTTCCTATAGTGGTATGTGGTAGTTCAATAGGAGGTCCAAGGGATTGACACTATTTGTTACCATACTGAGTAACACAAACCCTAGCGATGACAGAAATTCAAGGGAATTTAGTCTCTTAACTTTCCCTCCTTCTTTCCAGAACTGGTTCAGGTATCACTACCTCCTTCCCGCAGTCTTAAAGTACTTTGTAGTTGAGCTGTTAAGCTTCCATGATGCTTAAGACAGGTTGGTAAGGTTGACTCTGGCTCCTTTCACACAGCTGTATAAAATCCACATTGAACTGGATTATAAAGCAGTGTGGATTCAGATAATCCAGTTCAAAGCAGATATTGTGGATTATCTGCCTTGATTTTCTGGGTTATATGGCTGTGTGGAAGGGCCCTCTGCGGTGAAGTCCTGTTCTTTCTGCTGATTTTTCTTTAGAGCAGGAGAGGGGATCATGTAGCCCTCCCAAATCTTCTCTGAACTTCTGCATGAACTCTTTATGCAATCTAGCCTTCAGATTGCAGCCTTCACAAGGCAAAGCGCATCATGTATCACTTTGGGCAGCGCCTGATGCAATGCAACTCTGATCTTGCCATTGAAATGCAAATAGATGGATAAATTGGAAAAGGTTTGCTGCCTTGCTAACTGTAACAATTTAACCTAAAGGGATTCCAGATGGGAATTGGGAACACAATTAACATGTATTTAACTCCTCATAATGGTGAGAATTGTCACCCTCCAGATATTGTGTAATTGCATCCTCCATCAGCTCTAGCCAATACAGCCTATGATAGGCAATGCTGGGATTGGCAGTCCAACAATTACTTACTTACTTAGGCTATCCCTCGTTTTCTGAGGATAATTGTCTTCCAGTATTCTTGTGGGTGGGTATGTGGCTGTTGAGCCCTATTCTTGCTCTGCATCTTCTTCTGCAGTGAGGGCACTGGTTTCCAGGTGGAAGGCGGTCTCGGTCGGGGTTGGCTTGGCGTGCCTTCCTCTTGGCACGTTTCTCCCTTTCGCCCTCCATTCTTGCCTCTTCAAATTCTGCAGCACTGCTGGTCACAGCTGACCTCCAGCTGGAGTGGTTAAGGACCAGGGCTTCCCAGTTCTCAGTGTCTATGCCAGAGTTTTAAAGGTTGGCTTTGAGCCCATCTTTAAATCTCTTTTCCTGTCCACCAACATTCCGTTTTCCGTTCTTGAGTTCGGAGTAGAGCAGCTGCTTTGGGAGATGGTGGTCGGGCATCTGGACAACGTGGCTGGTGGCTGGAGTTGATGGTGGAGGACCATCGCTTCAATGCTGGTGGTCTTCGCTTCTCCCAGCACGCTGACATTTGTCCGCCTGTCTTCCCAAGAGATTTGCAGGATTTTCCGGAGGCAGCGCTGATGGAATCGTTCCAGGAGTTGCATGTGACGTCTGTAGACAGTCCACATCTCACAGGCATATAGCAGGGTTGGGAGGTCAATAGCTCTATAAACAAGCACCTTGGTATCCCTACGGATGTCCCGGTCCTCAAACACTCTCTGCTTCTTTCGGAAAAATGCTGCGCTCGCTGAGCTCAGGCGGTGTTGTATTTCGGTGTCGATGTTGACTTTGGTGGAGAGGTGGCTGCCAAGGTAGTGGAAATGATCAACATTTTCTAATATTGCACCATTAAGCTGTATCACTGGCATTGGAAAGGGGTTGGCTGGTGTCTGCTGGAATAGCACCTTGGTTTTTTCGATGTTCAATGACAGACCGAGCTTCTCGTATGCTTCTGCGAAGGTGTTTAGAGTGGCTTGTAGATCTTCTTCTGAATGTGCACAGACGACGTTGTCATCAGCATACTGGAGTTCTATAACAGATGTTGTTGTAACCTTAGTTTTGGC